GTATATAGCTGTTAGACAGAGCTCTGTTTGGTTGGCTGATGGTCATGTTCATGGGTGGCTGGTGTCCATAATTTGGCATTACAGCCCTTCTCTGCATTCTTTCTCTGTAATTATTGCAGGCATTGCCTCTGTAGTTATTGTAGGCAATGCTTACGGAGGTGAAGCCTCTGTAGGTTGAGCCAGCTGGAATTCGGTGGGCAAAGTCAGCTGGATTTTGGTAGGCATTGCCATAAGGGTACTGATAGGCGTAGTCGGTTGCACCTCTGTAGGTAGCCATGGTAGACCTAGGCTGGTAGTTATTGTACACTGGTTCTCTATAGTTACTGAAAGAAGGACCTCTGTAGGTATTGTAGGATGGAGTCCTGTAGTTATTGTGGCCCGGACCTCTGTAATTATTATAGGCTTTACCTCTGTAGTTACTGTATGACTGACCTCTGTAGCTGTTGTAGCCTTTACCTTTGAAGGAGTTGTAGACTACACCGCTGTGGTTATTGTACATGGGAGTTCTGTAGTTACTGTACGCTGGATCTCTGTAGGCATGACCTCTGTAATTATTGTACACTGGACCTCGGAAGTTACTGTAGGCCGCAGGATCTCTGTAGTAATTGTAGGACGAACCTCTGTAACGATTGTAGGCTTGTCCGCTATAATGATCATAGGCAGGAGTTTGGTAGTGGTTATAGATAGGAGGACCTCGGTAGTTTTCATAGAAAGGTTCTCTGTAGGCGCTGTAAGCAGGGCCTCGGTAGTTACTGTAGGCTCTTGTGCTGTAAACATTGAAAGCTGGGCCTCTGTAGAAAGATCCACCAGGGCACTGGTATGTGTAATCAGTTGGGTTCTGGTGGGCATTACTAAATGGATATTGATAGGAATACTCAGCTGGGTATTGGTAGCTGCAGTCGTTGGGGTTTTGGTAGATGTAAAATGTTTCTGCAGTTTGTGCGTTGGCTTCATCTTCACAATGTTCCGTTTTTATATCTTTAGCAGAAATATTTGTTGACAGAGAATAAGGAAACTGTGATTCAGCTGTCTCCGTCCTCCGTGGAGACGATGTTATTAATTCATCTGTAGACTCTTGCTTTATTTGTGTTGCATCTTGTTCTTCGTTTGTCTCGTTTGAAACGTCAGTGGAAAGAGCAGTTCGAGGTGGAGACGTAGCTGTCTCCGTTTCTGTCTCCAGTGAATACTGAGGTTGAAATTCAACAGTAAATTCCCCCTTTTCCATACCAGCCTTCGCACTGTTTGTCACAATTGAAGTTAAAATATCTTTTGACATAGACAACGATAGCTGTGTTTCAGCTGCGTCTGCCTCTGTCCTCGGCACAGACTGTTCTTGAATTTCAAGCACGGACTCTTTTTCCATTTCTGTCCCTGCTTGTTCTCCGATTGACTCAGTTTTACAGTCGACAAACAAAGTAGAAGCGAGCTGAGACTCACCTGTCTCCGCCTCAGTCTCCTGCAGGGACTGATCTTGAATTTCAACCACAGACTGTTCCCGAGTTTCCATCGCTGTTTACGGAATGTGTTTGGCAAATCTGTTCTGCTGTCTTTGTACCAAAGCTACTGAAGGCTGTGACCACTGGACAATTGTTTTCCTATTTATTTTGTATTTGCACGAGTTCCCATTAGGTAAGGCCCGCTTGGCTAGTGGTGATTAGCTCTTCCAAGCTATCAAAGGCACATGACATAAAGGGATGTCAAATGATGATTATTATGATGCATTTGCAGTGATGTCATGTAAAGACGTTGACCTTTTTAAGTGACCAGAGTGTTTTTTTTTTGGGTTTCTTTATCAAACTATTTATCATGGATGTAAAGGTGCACCTTATACAGTATTCAGATTTTACAAACCCTCAGTGCGGAAATGCCAAATGTGGCATTGATGCATAAAGCTGGCAGTGGGATTCTACTTATTGTAGAAATGTCAAGTTAATATATTTCCTAATAAAGGAGCCACATATTGTAGAAATGTTAAGTTAATATATAGAAAAGTTAATATATTTCCTAATAAAGGAGCACTTGCTTTTTGGAAGTGAGTTTTTCTAGTTTCCAACCACTCTGCTGTTAGTCTCAGTGTGTACATATTATTTAGGGTTGTCAATTTTTTTAAAATTATTTTTATTGTGATTTTTCTCACTGGAATTCTGGATTAATCATGATTAATCAAGATTCCTAAAATTGACAAATACATTTTTTTTCTCTACACCCTCAAATAACTCTCACCGTTGACACATTTATTTTGACCTGATGTTTTTTGTTAATATAGTGGTAGAAATATAGAAACTTTTGTGTTTAACATGATTCAAGGTAAAAGTATTTTTCTGTGCCAGTGATTTACCAACAAGTGAATGCATTTAGGAAATAACCTTCGCATTGTTCCAGGAAATACTGCTGATGTACACGTACAGTGGTGTGGAAGATTTCCAGGATTTGTAATCATCAAGAGGAGCATTGTTCTTGGCTCTACTATTTGCCCTAATTGCCTTAAAAGCATCTTAAGTGAATGCATAAAGTGCTCTTCAGCATTTACATTGTATTGTCACTGTAGCTCTATGTGTGTGAGTGTGTGAGTGTGTGTGTTTTATGAATCATTCTAAATAATGGCATTTTAAAAATGTAGGTTTTTTTTTTCTCAAGTGTAATTAACCCAGATGGTGTTGAATGTGGGACTTTGGGTTTTATGTTTCATTATGTGGAGTGGGCTCCAGCTAGGCCTGTTAGCACAGTGAAGAGCACAACTATCAGCAACTATCCAATTAGGTTGAAATACGCAACGCAGAAGCTGCAACGTAGAGTGCATCAATGAGATAGAATGAATGGGAAAAAAAACAGTAAATGAGATCCATGAGACCTGGTTTGACAGACAAGGTTTCTGTCATCAGAACTAAATAAAAATAAATCAACATTTTCACTAATGTGACGTTTAACCACCAAAACATTTTATTGATCTTCATGTAGCTGATCACCTGATCTCTTGGTCTTTGTCCAAAGCCGTGGTTAAATGGATATTTGTTGCATTCTTTCAAAGCTAAAAAAAAAAAAAAATACTCTGTGGTCTGTTTTAGTCTGGTACCTTTCTCGAGGCAGACTCTCCATGACGTCTGTGGCAGTGTTTAGCTTTCAGCTACTGCCTCTGGATGAGAAAAAAAAGTGACAGAAAACAAGAGAGAGCCGTGAGTCATTCACATTAGCCGCTCAAGTGGAAATCCTGAAAACCTTTTTTCAGTTACACACACACACACACGGATACACACACACACACGCACACAAACAACGTGCACAGGGAAGCCCAGGAGCCCATTTGGAGTGCCAGCATGTGTGATGTGCTTTGAACAGCAGCGACTCCGTGCCAGTTCTGAAATTCTCTCTCAAAGAGGAAGGATGTGTTTTTTCGACTCCCGTCTCCACCTGGAGCTTTACCTTGAAGTGGAACAAAATTAATCCTCGCCTCCATTCAGACAAATCACCACAGGCCTGTTTGTTATGTACTGTATACAGTACGGTATCTGTGCTCCCGTCCTTTCATGTAGAGTTTTCAGATTTGTCAGTAGAGTATTATTGTGAGGACGTCGCTCATGCAAAGAGGATTGGTCAAGTGGGACTTTCCGGTACGATATATTTTACCAATTTCGATCAGTTGAAAGCATATTCCAAACTTTAAGTGTTCTTCTTCGGTGCAGGTTTTATTCACATAACTGGTCATTTTGAAACATTAAAGTCAGTGATTTGACCACAGAACCCTAACCTCTGCATTGATTTCCTTTTTGTCCAGTCATTTTGAAACATTAAAGTTCTAAGTCAGTGATTTGACCACAGAACCTCTGCATTGATTTCCTTTTTGTCCGTTGACTTTTCTTAAATATAATAATTTTGCCCTGAATATTTATTGCGTGATTGTAGGCAATTGGTAAAAATAATTGACTTTTTTTGACAGTTCTACAATTATTGTTTTCTCGTCAATAACAATTACATTTTAAATGTATTCGGAAGAAAATTGAAACCTTCCTCTGCATCTTGCTTTTGGCTCTGGATTATAACAAAAAAAAAAAAATACCAGTAACAGATTATAATGTCTCAGGTATTCAGACTGTATTTATTCTCTTTTTTTTTTTACCAAGTGAAGAAGGTTGCAGGTAGTCATAATGTTATTACTGTGAGACGAAATGAAGGGCATCGTACCGTATTATTGATGAGTTTACAAAGAGACAAAGCGAGAGAGAGAGAGAGAGAGAAAGCTTTTCCCAGATTGCCCTCATGGATTTCTCCGGTAGCCTTTTCAAACTCTCCTAAGTCCTGTGGATTGAATGGATATGTGACGGCTTTACCCACAGCCTCAGGATTATTAGATTTATCAGAGACAACGGACTGGAGGGTAGATTCAACATTCTTATCACAGTCACACAGTTTTAACCTCATTGACAAATTATGACCCTCCCACTCCTCCCTCTCTTCTCCGCTCACCCATCACATCCACATGATTTTTTTTTTTTTTAAAGACAGAGCTAATGACATGTTCTGGGACACTTTCATATCAGCCAAAGTAATTTTCTCCTGCCCTCCACCCTTTCTCTAACCAAGGTGATAATGACCATTTAAAAAATGTAATTTAAGGTAAAATTGGTGCGTTTGATAGACATAACATTTCTCTTTTTAACTTGGTTCCGCCAGAATCAATATTGCATTTATAGCCTTGCAATAAATTTTTGGTTCTTTTTCTAGACGTCTCATTGAAGACTTTAATGAGGAGCAGACAACGGGTGTCTGTTTATGTTTGTATGTGATGGTTTTGAGGATTCTAAAGGTGTTGGTGGAAACAGACCTAGAAGCACCAGAGAGATCGCAACCACTTAAATCTCACTCTGTACACCAGACACCAGTGGACTCTATGAATACTTATCTAATATTCATCTTAAGATTCATTTGGGAGACGAATAATTTTCTCTCTCTGTCGTCGAGTGAACCGTGTTTCTCATTATTTTCCCCCTCTTGTGTCTCCACAGAAACCTCCTGGACAGGGACACCTTCTCCAAGTCCGACCCAAGTAAGACGGCGCACAGTGAACCACTTTGTGTTTGTGACAGTTTTCTTATCCTTAATTGGGAAAGCACAGCGACATGGTATCTAATAATATTTCTCTGAAAAGGATCTAGGAGATGTGGCTTGAAGCAAAAAAAAAAAAAAAACAATAGTGTAAAAGTTCAATAATGATTGAGAAAATACAAAATCAACCACTACATCAATAATGAATGAGAAAATACAAAATCAACCACTACATAAAGCTTCAAGAAAATATTGATAAATGGAGCTATTTCATGAAATAAATATTTTCCAGCACTTTATCTTTTTTTTTATTAACAATTCTCAGTCAAATATTTATAGCGTTGGTTCATTTTATTTTTCTTTTCTTTCTTCTCTAGTGATTCCAAATGTAGATCCCTCTGTTCCAGTGTTAGTAACCTGATGTTCAGATGGAACAGAGTCTGAGACTAGGATCACACTGGGACTACAATGAAATTGTTTTTTTTTTAAAAAAACCTCAATATATTGTTGTGTTTATCGTATCGCAATATATTGCAATATACGTATTGCAATATATTGCAATATATCGTACTGTGGCCCCTGTATTGTATCGTCATAACGTATCGCCAGATTCTTACACACCCCTAGTGCTTTACAATGCATTTACTTTTCAGTTCTAACGTCAGATGTGACAAACAGTATTCAATGTCTGAATTTAATCTCATATTCAAAAACGTTGTATGTGATATTTTTGGGATGATGCTTGATGTTATTGTGCGTAGGTGTGTTTAATAATAAGAGGCGCATGTGGGAGGAGAACTTTTGCTGCTATATATGGACTGACTGACTCAGTCACTCACACACAGTCAGTGCCTTTGGTGAAGATGTGTGTCAGCACATTAAGGATGACAGTGATGAGCACAGAGACGAGGGCGGCGGTGATCTGGAGAAGAGAGAGAGAGAGAGAGAGAGAGAGAGATGGCCGTACATTTAGCGTTGCTCTTATGCCGAGCGGCACCTGTGATTATGCTGAGCGGGGCTACTTCTTTCTACTGATATAAAATGGCCCCACGACAAGGAGGGCTCAACAAGATAAAAGAGGGGTAACATCACAGAGGACCGTGGCTCCAAAAGGACAGGAAATCTGCCTGGTGCATGTGGAGAAAAAAAAAGCGATCTGTTCATTATATTACTTTCTGCGTTCTAAAAATAAAAGCGTGCAACGTGTTAATGTCTGTTTATACGTCCCTCTCTCACTTATCTGAAAATAACATCAAAAATAATGGTGTTGTTGTGGGAAATTGGATAAAAGCCTCAAAACGACGTCTCCTGCCATTTGGAAGAAACAAGTCGTAAAAACTACAGCGTTGCAGCGTCACTGGTGAAATTTAGATCCTTTGATGCTTATTGCCTGTTTCTAATTTACTAATTAGTGCCACATTGTATTTTTCTTTTTTATATAATGGACCTATTATGTTTTTTTTTCTCTCTTTCCTGCAAAAACTTTTCATTCCATATGTCTGTGGTTTTTTTTTTCTCTCTTTCCCGCAAAAACTTTTCATTCCATATGTCTGTGTCTTCTCCACAGTTTGCGTCCTCTACACGCAGGGCATGGGCAACAAGGAGTGGAGAGAGGTCAGTGTGTTGTTCGCAGACCACGGTTTTTGCCACATTCTTCTTTTTATTTATAAATTTTATATTTTTGGTGGAATAAAGAGACATTTAGACTATTGGACATGTTCAGGTTGTAAATGTAAAAATGTGGGGAAAGAAGCAAATTACACCTTAATGTATGATTTAAACCGCCGCAAATTTTGCAGTTTTGGTTAAGACTGACTGTAAACTGTAAACAAACATATTAAACATCTGGCTGTGACGTTTCCATCTGCTGTCACATCCACTGGTGAAAGGAATTAACATACGGTACCGTATCGTTTTTCATAGCGGTGTCTCTTCAGTAATTACTCTCCCATATAATTCAGTCTGGAGGGACGAGGGTCAAGGGAGGTGGAAGGATCCAGAACTCCCTGCTGTAGCTACGATCGTCACTTCTGTCTGAGCTCGCACGATTCTCTCAACACAGCCACATGTTTTTTCACAAAAAAGAAATAGTGGTGAATTTGAATGAGGGGCCAAATCTAGTGGCTATAATCACTCCCTGTTATTCACAGTTATGAACACCGCCTCATTGTGGTGCATCATTAACATGCGGCGTTTAAATGCCACGCCGGGATCCACCTGACCTCCATTGACTATCAGCTCTGCATTTATACACTACAGAGCTGCACGTGTCACCGGAGGGTGAAAGCAGTTATTGATCAGTTTAGCTTGTTTTTGTTTTTATTGAAAAATACCCTTTGACCCTCATAATTAAAATATATACATATTGAAGTTGGATTCAAATATAGACAAATATAGAAATATAGGACTGTACGCTAGTTTGATTTATATGGACCAAAGGTAGACAAGATGAAATGTATGATAACATTTTTCCATATTTTTTCTTTATCTAGTTTGGCAGAACAGAAGTGATTGACAACACACTAAATCCAGATTTCGTTCGAAAATTTATCTTGGACTACTTCTTTGAGGAACGGCAGAACCTACGCTTCGACCTGTAAGTAATTTCTTTGCCACAACTATGACCTAAATTACGAGGATGTTCTGTAATAGTAGGTAAGTGAGTGAATGCTGTGGTATATATATGTACAGTCTGTATATATTAATATCAATAATTAAACTCCGTGAAGAAGTCGTCAGTGTGTCTGACAGGTTTGTCAATTAGTCCATTAGAAAAAAAGTCATGCGTGAGCTGATCAGCGGCGAGGCTGTCGTGGTCTCTCCACGTTCTGCTCCTGAATGTGTGCATGCAGGTTTGAATGTTTGTGTTTCCTCAGCGGGTTGCTCTGTCACACCATATCACCGTAACGTCATATCACTGTGAAGGTGCAAAGTGTGACAAGCTCACGTGGACGGACCTGTCGCAGTCGAGTGTGAAGCCCTGGCGACCATGTTGTTTGTTTGTTGGCATGCGGTGGTGGCCATTGGAAACCATTTAAAAAAAACATTTGAACCTTTTTAATTTGTCATTGTTTACAGATTTTGTCCTGTTAATGTTCTAAAGTATAAGTACACGTGGTGTGATCCATGTTGAAACATTTCTGTATCCAGGAGATATGAGGGCATTTGTGTTACATCCTCATCAAGTCTTCCTCATTAAAAAATCACAAGAAGGCCAGCCACTTCTGAGTCTGTGCCCTCACTTACTTTTAAAGCAGCTAAATAATGTATTTGGATGAGCGCCTTCATTATACTTGCTGTCTTTGAAGTGGAGTTTCTGAATCAAACTGAGCCGCTAATAGGAACAAAACCGCCCGCTGGCTTTTTGTTGCTCTGTTTGTTACCGACACTTCATTCAGGGTTAGTTCCACTGAAAAAGTCACGTGTGTGAATGCATTAGCATCAGCTACACCGCACTTCGATGAATGTGTATGGAGTACATACTCACCTTGAGTGTACAGCTGCTGTGGAATGTGGCGGTAAGCAGAGTAAAGACACGATTCTCCGGGGAACTACAGTAGATCCTGTGAAACCACAGTAGCACAAACGCTGCAGTATTTTGTCAGAAAATAATTTGTTCAACTTAACCTTAAATTAAAGTCAATCTGACCCAAGTGGATGTTTAACAGCTTGGAATCTACACCCAAAATAATGGTTAGGAGTGTGCTAGCTAGGCCATAATTAACTGGATCATGGGTTTAGAGCCAAAAAGTCTGAATATAATGGCTTGAGGTGTAATATTGTTATTATTATTATTTACAATACTATATATGCAGTATACCATTTAAAAAGACTTGAAAAACACAAAAAAATTAAAATATTTATTTAAAAAAGACTGTTGAAAAACACAAAAAAATTAAAATATTGTCCTTTAGTTTCTCATGCAAGTTAAGCCTAAATGTATTGATTCGATCGTGGTCCAAAATAAAGTAAAATAAAAAAAACATGGTTCATTGTTATCTGATATTAGTATCAAAAACACAGACTCATACTGTACATCTACCTGCTAGTATTTGTCTGTTCCAGAGATACAGAAAACAAAACAGAAAAAGTTGTTGTTTTTTTTTATGAGGAATGTGAATTAACCATACTTAATCACGATTAATCATGACTAATCCACAGCTACCCTTGTGATGAATCCGATCCCAAATTTTAAACAGTTTAAACAGCCCTACCATTAACTCAACACCACATGTTCCGCTCCTTCTGTTTATCGTGCGCCCTCAACACTGTGTGATCGCCAATTCCTGCGTTAGGTTTCAGTTTAATGGAGCACGCCGCCGGTGAACCAGCGACGTTAGGAAGTGAACCAGCCTGTGGTGCGAGTGTCTCTAACAAGCTGCTTGGCCCCATTACTGATGTTCCCTGTCTGTTATTTCTGTTGTGACGCCAGCTGAGCCACTGTCACCCTGCGTTGCTCTCTAAACTCCTGCTCTCCTCCTCGCCTTTTGTCTGCAGGTACGATGTGGACTCCAAGAGTGCCAACCTGTCAAAACACGTGAGTACCAAAACTTGACGCCATCGTGTGTGTGTGTGTGTTTTGGCCGTGCGCTGAGGCATATGTGCTTTTATTTTTTTCTACTGTAATTGCTCTCTTTGTAAACATTTCCCATTTGGCTCATTTCAACCACACAACAGTGATTTGACTGTTACGTCCAACCTCATCATCGTCATCATCATCACCCTGTTGTACAGTAGCTCATTCCTGGATTGGCCTCTCAACCATGTAGAGATTAAATAAACAGAGTTTTTTTTTTCATCCCTGTAACGTTGATAGCAGTAATTAGAACAGCAGTAATTTCAGACAACAGTGTAATAGCTTGGCCTAATAGTGGGCAAAATCCAGTAGCTGTCCTGCCTCCTGAGCTTTGGCAAATGTAGTTAAAAATGAAGATCCAGCTCACGCCCCACCAAAGGTTTTACACATTTGTAGTCAGAGCTATTTCACACAGTTGTTGACGTACAGACTATTCAGTTTTTAAACAATTATGCAAGGTGTCAGGGGTTATCAACAGGTGGCCCGCGGGCTGAATCTGGCCAAGGTAAACTGTCCAATCTGGCCCACGATTAGATTCCAAAACAAACATCAAATCCCTCCCTGACCTAAACCAGACATAAACTTATAGAATCACAATTGGCATGTGATCAAAATGTCTAATGCAGAACAGACAATAGGTCAAAAGCCTCTTTATGATATCACTTTTTTGTTTCTTTAAGTGGTGACAATATACTTGTTACTGCATCGGCTGACAAATATTTGGATATTTTCCTCCAATTTCCAAATTTGCAGTGTTCTGTAAATGTGAAAAATAGTGGTTTTCAGTATCTTATGTCTGGATTATTAGCCGCCCAAAAAAATGTATGGCCCAGCTGAATTTCTTAGTTTTTTTTTTTTTCCCCGTAATTCTTAAATTGCACAGCCCTGGTTTAGATCTGTTGTCTCTCTCTTGTCCATCTTTCGTCTCTCCTCCTCTCAGCCTGACATCGTCATATTTCTTTCTGTCATTAACCTGTTCTCTCACTTTCTCCATCTCCCACTTTTTTTCCATTCCTCTCACTCTGCCGTCCTTCATCCTCCTTACTTCACTTCTTTGAAATCAATAATGTCGAACAAGAAGCGACAGGCGTGTATGCTCGGAGGCAGCACAACTATCTAAGCAGCCTCGGTGCTCAGGTCTCAGGAGAACGAGCCTAAGACTCGATCCATTAGTTGGTGTTTAAGCTCCAGCTCCTGGGATCTCCAGGCAACCGGGAGGTGGGTGTGAACGATGGTGAAATGTGGAGGGAAAATATGAAGAGCGTGAGAGCGAAGGAAAAGAGGAAATGTGAAGAGATGATTAGAATTAGAATGTATTAAAGATTGGTGTAACTGCTGTGTGTTTGAATTGAATAATAGGAATTACTTTATTTAAATTTGTAATAACATTTCTAAATATGACAAATACTTGTGTTTCACACCTGTTTTTCTTCGTGACAAATCCAATTGATGGAATATTATTAGTATTCCCATCCATGTTCTTTCACACCAGGAATGTCAATCCACTGACGCTGGAAACCTCAAACCGGAATTACTTGTCCCACCCGACCGACCTGGTGTGAACAGACGTGAATAAAAAAACGTAAACAAACAAATGCTCTTTGTCATGTGACCAGCCTGAGTTTCGTCCTCTTATCTGCTCCCAGTCACACATTTACAATTCAAGGCCTTTCAGTATTTTAGCTGACATTGTTCCAGCAGAGCAGCAGTCAGTGTCATCTGCTTTTCTGTAAAAACAAAAACAAAAACAAAATAACATACCAACCAAATGGACATACTTTCAAACATCTACAGTATCTCTTTCACAGAAACTCCTTTCTAACCCATGCTGTGATATATTTAGCCATTAGCTGCACACAGCCAAAGTTCCAATGGACCTCACGCTGGCAACAGTCACAGTTGCTAGGAGATAACGTGAGTTTGTGGCATAGCCCCTACATCAGAGTAAAAGGGGCAAATATCAGCACCGTAAAAAAGAAAAAAAAAAAACCAAAACACCCAAAAGTGTTATTTCAGCTCACATTAGGGCCGAAACACAAAGTATAAAGTCACATGATTTAATGTGTCCGTCCATGAAAATGTGTGAATGGATGAAGATTGAGATTGGATAATGGAGGAGGTTAATCAACAGAGCAAAGAAAACCCATTTCGGTAGCAGTGCTTGGAGGGGAAATAGTCAGACATTAGGGACAGAGGAGAATAATGAAAAATGTTCCCCACTGTCTGCCCCCTGGTAAAAAAAAAAAAAAAAAGAGATCACGTTCCTGTAATGGCTTAGATTTATTCGCTGTTGTCTCCAAATTCACCAGTCTAACAGTCATTTTTAACTGATTTACTCACCTACACATAGAAGTTTTTTTTTTATTTCTTCGTCTTCTTATTTTGTGTTTGTGTGTCGGGTTTAATTTGTTACGATTGTGTCAGAGGGGCAGATCGGGGGCAGGTGGGAGGATTATCTTTCAGTAGAGATTGGGTCTGCTGTGCTGGGGGTCTCAGGCAGGACAAAAGCCTTTTCCCTTTTGGCTTTTGTCAGTTTCGTTTTTTTAGTTTATATGTGTTTGTTTCGTGGACTGTCTTATTTTTTTTAAGATGTGTTTTTTTAACTGCTGCTTGATTTTCTGCAGGATTTCTTGGGCCAGGCTCAGTGCACCCTGGGAGAAGTGGTTGGTTCTTTAGGCGGTCGTTTGGAAAAAGCACTGGGGTAAGTTTGTAAATTCAGTTGATAATCTAAACAAATGTTTTCAACCGCTTCTGTGGCGGGATGCATGGAGTGACAACGGAGAGAGACGATGTGTGGGAGTTGATCACCATGTGACTTGGGGCTAAGACAGTGGTGATGTTTATGGTATTTTTTTATCATTTAAATCAGTGGTTCCCCATCTTTTTTGACATTACAAAATTCTGGTCCACATGGGGTCACGACCCCAAGGTCCTCTGGACTAGAGTCTCCCCTTAATGCATTAGTTGGCATCACAGTATAAATAACATGGTGGTATTATTGGACCATGTCTAGTTGTCATTCCAGTCATTTCATTGGGATCCCAGTGGAATTTAGGTAAATTATGTAACCAGTATTATTTGCATTATTTTTTTGAAAAAGCAGGCAAACTAAAACAAATGTATTTTGTCCAATAGTCAGCAGTTGCAGAGGCATAAAGAAGAGCTTTAACATCGACAGTTTATAACTTATTCATGAGTCGGCGCACTTAGTTGTAAGTTGGATAAACACTTCTTTTTCTTTTTTTTTTTACACATGCTCCATTGTCGATGTGTCTGTTTTTTTTCTCACTTAATCTGTTACATGTTTGCGTTCACTAGTTTATGCAGCTTACTTTTATAATTATGCAAAGTTTGACTCCATCCTTCTGATACGTTTGGTGTGAGCTCGTTAATGAAAAAGACACTTGTTAGGAGGCAGTGTTAAAGTACTGTATATTCATACAACAAAAACAAACAAAAAAAAACTGTGATCTGAGGTTCAGCTGATAAAAATGCAGCAGAACAAACGTCGGCGGAAAGCTGTTAGATGTGTCTGCCTTTATGCACTAACGAATACCTGCTGCTTGGTAATTGGAGTGACTGGTGCAGGATCAAGGGTGCAGCTCTGACGGCTGTCATTAAAAAAAAAACATGCAAAGGAACAGCTTATTCCCTAGACCTGCTGCTGCTTGTCACTGTATGTATGACATACAGTATTTTATATTCTGTGCAGTACGTTTGAAGACCTCCAACTGTTTTCGATGTATAAATCTTAAAATACATTTCTCTCAATTTATGTCCACAAATATGGACACATGTACCATGTTTTCTGGACTACAAGTCACTCAAGAGTATAAGTCGCACAAGCCAAAAAAAAAAGCAAAATGAAGAAGAAAAGAAAACAGATTTAAGTCGCTCTGGAGCATAAGTTGCAGCAGTGCCCTCTAGTGGTTGTCATTGTTAAAATAACAGTGTGAAATTATATATTTTAATATATAAGTGACACCTGAGTAAGTCGCAAACCTAGCTAAAGAATGAAAGAATGTAGTTCTTAAAAAATTATAAAACAAAATTCTATTATTTTATGATAAGAAGGAAATAAATAAAAAATACTGCATTTAGCAGTATTTTTATTTCATTTACTTCATACATTTGCATGTCAAATTAAATCTGGAGTTGTCCGGGTTCTGTTATCACGCAATTATTCACAAAGAACAAAGAAGAAGAAAAAAGAAGACGTTTTTTTCCACATAATCACAAGTGAGTCATTATTCAAACTCCATTAAAACAAGGAGCACAAATACGGCCCAGCCCTCGCCTCCCTTCATCTATAATTTGTCAAATCCGATGTGTATGAGAGCACGTTACATAAAAGTCATTACTTTGATCAATGACGGATGTGGCGGATCATCGATCACCACGTACAACCTCATTATCCACACAAATATCTGACGATCCAGTAGTCAGTCCTGTCAAAACACAGACATGTATTTGGTGTTCTGCAGTTTTATATGTACGAAAATGAAAAAAAAAAACTGATATATGACCTGCTGTTGTTAACATGTACAAACAGGCTTTAACTGGACGGACCACTCACACAGTGGAGTATTGACTCAGCGACTAACATCATGTTTGTGGTTTACAAACAAGTCAAATTGTAAAAAAAAACACATTGTGTCACAGAACAACAAGTCATTTCAGAGACGAAGCTTGAAGCCATTCTCACCTCGTGTCCACAGACATTAAGCTCCTCCCCTGTGTAAAGGGTGTGTGTGATGCCCTCCTTTATGTGTTGATATCTTTGGGTACATTGTTATTGTACTTACAGTACATACAGTACATACTTAATCCTCACACATGCTCAAATAATTTCCACAATAGTTACTATCACATTCAGCTGCAGACACCAGACGGCGTCCAACAGATACGGCCAGCGATCAGTGAGTGACGGCTGTACTAACCCTAACCCTAAGTGTAATACTTTGATACTGGACTGGAATATAAATGGATTGGATTCTCACGACACAGAATGGTTTATTTTAAAGGTACTCACTATATAATCAGACTTTTTAAGAAAACGCAGTCAGAGGGCAGCACCTCTGTCTGAAATATCTTAGTGCCTTAGTGACTTTCTGTGGCTCAACCTCCCTGTGAGTTTGATGTGAATTTAATGTCATTAAACTACACAGATAAACTTATTTGACAGAGAATGTATGAATGAAGAATATGCAGAATATCGGTTTCATAGTATCTGTTACCAAAAGTATTTTCACATTACAAATGAGCCAGATGACGGAGCAGGAAGTAAATGCTGATCCTGTTGATCTACTGTATACTGTCTACTGTATGTAGACGTAAAGGTACACATACCGTCCAAAAATACCTTTATACCATCCAGAAAAAAAACCCCATGTGTGAATACCAGTTTAAAAATCATCAATGATTCTGTTCCCAAATCCACAGTGTCAACAACAGGTATAAACAAAGCCCACGAGGCTACAGCTGCCACTGTCCTGCTGAGGTTGTGTCTGATTGTGTGTGTGTGTGTGTGTGTTTGCACCCTGTCAGACACACACCTGCATCCTGACACGACAGGGGGATCTTTAACAATTTTAATGAGTGCTAATTACAGGTAATTATACTGTTCACTCAAACTCCAGTGGGCATTTGTGTGTGTGCGCGCGCGTGTGTGAATGCAAAAGAACAAGATGGAGGTTTTTTTTGTGTTATTTATAAATATGCAAAAGAACAAGATGAAGGAGGTTTTTTTTGTGTTATTTATAAATATATTGTTTCCCGTTGACCAATGTAACTCAGATATGTCTGTTTTTACAGAGTTTACAGACTTTTTATTTGACTTTTTCAAAAAAAAGTCTCTCTTGCTTTGGGCTAAGGCAGTGATGCCTTTGCTGTCCTAAGCAATCTGTAACTTGAGTATTAATTTCCTCTCAGGGCCTCATACGATTGGATGGCCACCCTGTCAGTCAGCTGGACCTTTTGCCTAGTTGATAAAACCTGTTACTTGATAACAGGTATAAATAAACTTGAAACTTTACATTAGTGACTTCCAGAGCAAATCTCTGGAAAGTGTGTACAAAACTACTCTGCAGAAATTCGTAAACATCGCACCTTCAAAGTCCTCTCCGTGCTCGGCGGTTTAACTTCAGACCCGCCTTTAAGATCCGAGCCTCGCTCAGTGATTTAATTTGTACCAGAGCCACTTGGGATCAGTGAAAAGCACCTGAGATGTTGCGCTGTGTTTAAATTTGCATTTGATTACCCACACCCAAGCTCCTTCCGCCGATGTTCAAGTCTTTTGAATATTTAGTAAGGCAATTTGGGTCTATTTATCTTTTAACATGTCTCCTGTTTTTTTTTTCATACTCTCTTTTAAGTCTCTCTCTCTCTCTCACTTCTTCCCGTCAGTGTCTCTTTTGGAGCCTCTTATGTTTTTGTCGGTGGCTCTTTTGTGTTCATGAACAAAACATGATTTCTGGTTGGTACGAGGTCAGGGAGAAATGTCAGCTCACCACCACCACCACAGAAGCCAAGTAGTGTAGACTGCAATTATAACTGCAAGTGCGTGTGTCAGAATTAGGGGGAAAAAAAAGAAATGCACTCAACCCGGAGCTGAGAGGTGTGGACGACTCTGAGTCTGTTGAGACGTATCTTAGGTCAGTGGTTTGTTTGTGGCTGTACGTTGGGGAACGACCAAGTACACGATGGACTCTAACGTGTGTGTATGTGTGTGTACTGTATATACATCTGTGTTTCTGTGTGTGCACCTGAACTACAGTTTTTTGCCTGCGTTGCAGCCCAGGAGTGGCCCAGACTTAATTATCGTCTCATGTCTGACACTGATTGCAAGTCCATGTGTCTTGATTAGTGGATTCACAGTGGATTCACACACACAGAGACACACACACACACTCACACACCAACAGCCGTTGACACACATTGCTGAAGAGCCTTGAAATGTGAAGTAATTCACATCTTTAAAAGTGCCTTTTCCGCTGCGTGGATAAGCAAACGTAAGGAAAACCTGTTTCCTTGAGAATAACAGTACGGATGAGATATCTCTGACTTTTTTTTTTTAATCTCACTTTCACCAGCTCTGCATTTTTCAAGAAAGGGTAAATGCCAAACAGGAAATAAAATGTGCTCGGGGGAACAAAAATTTTTCCGCCTGGGTTACATTATTTTTCACCTTTTGCGAGCGTGAAAAATGGTTCTTGATATAATATGCCTGCAGTAAGACCAGTCAGTGTGTTGGTTCAGGAATGAGGATTCGGGGAAAGTGTTGTAATAATTCATGATAGAGTCATATTGTATTTGCGTTATCGTGTCAAGTCGGGTCACAGCGGTTCACAGCAGGAGAAGAACATTTTGCAGAATCTATTCATTTATACAGTGTAACATCTAGTTATACTGTACATGTGGTACTAAAAAAGTTACTAATTAATAGTCAATTTTTCAAACCATGTATGTGTGCGATGTTAATCACTGTTACACTAAAACACCGGGGTGTCAAACTCACTCACAATCTAAATTATATTGTATTTAAACAGACTGCAATTACTTTTTATTCAATAAAATACAAAAAAAAAAAAAAAGAAATAAAAACAGAGAGCTAAATCGGAATAAAGAGAATTAGAATAGTAAATTAACCGCCATACACATGGATGGGATTCAAACACTGCATTTAACTCATGTAGTAAGCACTTTACACTTTTTTTAAGACACCCATATTCTAAGCTGAGCTCTTGTGGGCCGCCTACAGTGATGAGGCGGCCCAGATTTTGCCCACGGGCCTCATGTTTGACATAGGTGGACTAAAGAAGACTATTTTATTTATTGATTTTTTTTCCTGGCTTTATGAAAGCAGGAAGAAACCCAAGAAAACAACATACAGGAGTGTCTCTTTTTGAGAAAGACTCCAGGACATACAATTAGTTCATGGTGAATCTTTAACTGTTCATATTTGTGTGCAAGGCACAAATATGGCTCCAGTTATTTATCCTTTTTTGTGACTTTTTTATGTGACTGTCAGGCAGAGAAATAAAGTCAGAAAAAGGAGGAGAGACTAGGAACGAGGCATCGGCAAAAATAATGAGCAGAGGAATCCCATTTGATGTCCCGCTGCAGGGGTCTGGCATAGTTGTCATAGCGACACACGCTCTAACTGCATTTGCTGTGGGGTCTTTAAAACATCTCGTATGTAATTGTAGTGAGTTGACGTGACTGAGGGAGAGACCGTGACAAACATCTGAACATGAGACGCTGTCAGGACGAGATTTTAACAAGTCTACAATGTGCACCGAAAGAAAAGAAAAATATATACAGTATATATATATATATTTTTTACTCTGGTATCCAGCTGTGAGGGAACATGGATGTGCAGACATGAATCCAATGTTAAAATTAGAACAGGAGAAATTAAACTTGCTCAGGTGGCAGAGAGTCGTGCAATCAAGAAATATCATGAATATTCTGTGGAATGTGCTCAACTTTCACCTCCGCTTCACCACACTTTACTTTCTAGCGCCGATAATGAGACTGAGTGCAAAGGCAAACTAACAGGAAAGTCACGGAGAAAAAGTGTTAAAATTAAAATCGCATATTAGCTTCCAATGTTATTTTTGCGCAACACATTTTACACAAGTCTGTGGGTATAAGGCAGGGGTCAAGTTCTGTCATATTCGGGGAGACTAATTCACTTTCATTTCCTTGAATTCCTATTCATACCAAACGTACAGTTACAGTTACATTTCTTTACTTTAACACAAATCTCTCATACATTGATTTAGTGAGAGTTTCTCACATGGAACTACATTTCAGCTCTGATTTCTTGGAACCACTTTACTGTCTGTAATGTGGTGTTGCTGGTGTAGCAGCAGAGAATGTTCACTGGAATATGAATCGCTCATCTTGAGTGGACTAACGGTCAATAGATGTTTTTCTATAATGCAGAAGTATAAGTAGATGATGAAATGTTTATGTTTCCCTATTTACTCATCATCTGTTGGAATATATATATATATATATTTAATGATAGGACATGAACATTTACACATGTAAACATGTAAATGTTTCATCATCCGATGTCGGCACCACAGCAGAAGAGTGGGACTTTGTTAGTGTTACTGTATTTTCTTCCCTAACGGGACTGTTAGTGTTACTGTATTTTCTTCCCTACATTCTGTATTAGCAATATTTCTGAAGCAAAATTCAAAAACAACCAAAATGTTCATCCTGGAATGTCTAGAAATTACTTCTCTGAATTCTGATGCGATATATTTCATTTCTTGATTTTCTTCAGTGCTGTTCTTCTCAAAGCGAGGCCTCGTTTCCAGAATCTCTCACTTCGATAGAGCTGCCATTTCAGCAGCATTTTCTCCTAATTCTGGCACTGGAGTGTGGAGTGGCCTTGGATTACGTTCATGCGGAGGATCTCGACCCCAATTCTGGGCTGTCTAATAAGTGACTGTCTGAGTCTTATTTCTGCCAGGTGGTTTTCTCTGAGTGGAGCTCATCAGATGACAGACCTCTTTTTCAGATTACAAGTTCTTTCAAAGCCAAGTCGGATGATTGAGGCTGTTCTTCCTCTCACGCTTTCATACCTCCTCGTACTTCGTACTTCTTTTTTGGGTGTTATACTGGGTGGATACGTGTCACTATATACATGTATATAGGAGGCCGAATCACTTTGGAAAAAAGTGAAAGAAGTAGTTCCCAAAAAAATGTCAGTATAAAAAGGTTGAAGAGTTCTGTTTTCACCTCTCATCCAAGAGGCTTCTTCAGTTCTAACTGGTGGTGGGGAGTACAGCAGATATATACTCTGGGAATGACAAAGAATAAAGCTGTACTTCAGCTCCGACCCTGTTGGGTGGGCCGTCGGAGTCAACTGGGAAAGTGTAACCAGTCATTAGGAGTCCGATGGGTCGTTGCGATGAGAGGTGAAACGTCGTCTTAAAAAAAAAATTCACGTCCAGTTGTCTAAGAGAAATCTTCAACCTTGACCATGACCTGGGTCCACAACTGAGAATTTTCAGAGACATGTCAGTATAGTAGTATTTCCCCAAAACAAAGAGGCAGGAAAATAGTCCCCGGTTCCAACAAGACCAACCAGATCTAACACAATATCTGTGGTTTTCTTTTTTAGCTCCAGGTTTTGCCGTCAGAGTCACTGTTTTCATTAGCCCTCCTTTCCAGACGGTGCTGCTGGAAAAGAAAAGGCTGTGATAAGTGTGCACTCGTCAGCCGGCAGCGAACAGCTGACAGACTAAGTTAGTGACTCGTGGCTGGAAGTAGTGGAGCATGTCAGAGCTGAAGAGCAGTATTTCCCTCCGGAGTTAAAAGGGAAGCTGAAGAACATGCAGTAGATGGAACTTTTATGTTGGACGTTAGTAATATAGTTCCAAGTACTTGGTTGTATGTCCCACGTCTTTTGGGTGAAGTACTACATTTCTATTATCAAACTAAAGCTAAAACACACTTTCTCCATATAAGAAAATGACAGAATGAGAGTTGGTCTCGGTTTTTTCGAGACGTGCCGACTCCTTGGCATTGATTTGAGCAATTGACAAGAAGATTTTCCAGGGTCAGCTGTAGCCGTGTGCAAATGTGGGTCCGCCTACGTTTACGTTATTTTCACTGAAATAAAAGCCGTGACATTCCGTGACTGCAAGAACGTAACGTGTTAAGAGACATAAATGAGACGTGGAACTGACATGGGGATTATATTTCTGTGTTCAGCTGTTTATCCATGTTGGTAGAATATTTTTTTTATCACCTCTTTAGATGTTTTAAAAATACTCATCTTCACATGAGTGACACAAACCCCACAGGTCTGGAAGCCGCTGTACTGTGGCTTAAGTGAGTTTGGTTAATAACGACGATCTATCATCTGATTAAATATGAGAAATTTCACTTACTTTGCTCTGGGTTTTTGTGTTTGAACTACACAGTACAACAACTGTTGGTTCAGTGACTTTAACTGAATCCAAAAAATATATGTTTGATTTCCAACATGGCTGACCTGGAAATTGTTGTCCAATAGGAGTGTGTGTGTGGTTGTGTGTTTGTGTCGGTCATGGTTGTTATAAAAAGCTTCTGTTCAGATTCAGTGCTAGTAACCGTGCGTCACCTACCCCTCGCCCCCACAGCCCCAACCCCCCCCCCGACCTCAGTCTATCCAAATACGCCCTAGTGATGTAAATAAATGGACAAACAACAAACACCTTGTTTCTCAACATGTTTCCATTTGCTCTCTGCTGCCACTGCTGTTCTACTTCAGTATTTACACAGAGTTGGAACATGTTTTCAGATGAGGTGGAATTATCACACGACAAGATCTCGCTTGTCATTTTACTTGTTTGTTTTGATGGCCCAAAATAATTTGACATTTGATAAAACAAAACACAGAAAGATGTTCAAATACCAGGTTTTCACTCGTCTCTGTTGTTTTCAGGGGAATCCCTGGGAAGAAATGTGGAACTATTATTGTGAAGGCAGAAGAACTGAACAACTGCAGGGTAAATAACAACTCACACACTTGAACTGTTTTTTTATTATTATTATTTCAACATTTTTCCTTCAAGTCGATCAACTGGTTTTTTTCCCTTTGATTTAATCAGGAATCGGTGATGATTTTTTTTCTCTTTGATTTAATCAGGAATCGGTGATGATGCAGTTCTGTGGAAACAAACTGGACAAAAAAGATTTCTTTGGGAAGTCCGATCCATTCCTGGTCTTTTACAGGAGCAACGAGGACGGCACGTGAGTTTCACCCCCCCCCACTCCCCCCTCCCCCTTCCATTTTTGGTTTAATCTCACTCCTGTATACAAAGGAAATTGCTTACATTGATTTGTCACGGAACAAAAGCCAGGCCTCTATGTTAAATTACTTGAGCGACACACACGCGCGGTGGAAACAGACGTGTGCGAGTGAGTCAGTGAAGGCATTGAACGAGAGAAAGAAAATGTGAGGGAGAGGGTGTGTGTGTGTGTGGGGGGGGGGGTAGAGAGTGTGAGGGTATTCGATCGGACCCCGCAGGCTCTTTTCCATCCTGCTGTTTGTGACAAGTTAGATAAGACCTCCTGGCCTTGTGAGGTGGAGATACCAAGTCCACCTGCAAGCCACGAGACTAATGGAATTATCTATGTGAAGAGGGTTATGTGTATGTGTGTGTGTGTTGTTGTGTGTTTGTACGTTTGTTTCTGGTTTCCTTATACTTGTGGGGACATTTCACAGGACCTCACTGAGCGAGAGGATTGAGTTATAAGGTTAAAATGGGGTTAAGATTAGAATTAGGGTAAAATATTAGGATATTTGTAAAAGCATATAACAGTGATTACTAACTGGTGGCCTGTGGGCGCAATTCAGTCCCAGAAATCTATTTAATCCGGCCTGCGACTGGATTTCAAAAATGTGAGAATCGAAGAAAAACCATTGTCAGTATTCCAAAACTGTCAGTATTCCACACCATTTATGGCTGTATTTGGAAAATCTGTCCAGTGAAGTTCTGGCCCTCTGACAAATATAGTTGGTGACCCCTGGTATATAACAAATAGCATATTTGGAAAAGTTAATATTCAATATACTTCTACAAAAAGGTCAATCTGTTTTCGTGTGTGTGTCTGTTAACAGTAGTTTTCTTAAGGTCCTCGACCCTCGTGCAGGTCAAAGTCTGGTCTTGATAAGACAGAAAAATGTGTTTGATCTTACGATGAAGTTGTCAATTTAATTAAGGTTAAGGTTCGGGGTGAAAACGCTTTGAAGCTGTAGAAGAAAATCATTTTTTTTGTGCCCACCTCCCAGTTACACTTTTGTCTCCCCTCTCCTTTAACCCTCCCCTCTCTTTGCTTCTCTCTCCAGGTTTACAATCTGCCACAAGACAGAGGTGGTGAAGAACACACTAAACCCGGTGTGGCAGGCCTTTAAGATCCCTGTCCGAGCTCTCTGCAACGGCGACTACGACAGGTAACCCCGGTTTCTGCTGAGGTCACTCCAATAAAATAAAAAAAAATAAAAAAGATCATGAAATGGCCATTACAGCTAAATGTTGACGTACAAACAGCAACACATGCCTTGTGTGTTTCGCCTCTGGGAGTTTGCTTCCATTTATTACTTGTGGAGGCAGCACGGAGCTAATTAAAACTAATCTATGACAAATGAAGCCTGGGTGTAATCTGCAGTACATGTTTCCCTCCGTTGAAGGGAACGGTGACGGTAATATTTCTCCGGAGTAGACTAGGTGTGGCAGAAATGGATACAAATACAGTACGTGTACTATTTGTCGGGCGTCTCTCTCTCTCTCTCTCTCTCTCTTTCTCTTTCTCTCTCTGTTTCCGGCGTCAATATCGTTCACGTTGTAAAAAGAGACAAAGAAAGTGGATACGTGGCATTGATCTGTGGTTTGGTCCTATAGACTTATTAGTGCAGAGACCAGGACTAGGGAAAACCATTGTACTCTGCACTGCACTGAACCCGCATGTACACACACTCACAAACACAAGGACACACCTTTTCACACACACACACGGTTTCTCTGCAGCCTGGGAAAGGAGATAAGGATGAGCTCATGCAGGCAAACAATAGAGACCTGTGTTTCTGCCCTTAGCTGCTCTTAAGGGCCCTCTCTCTCTCTCTCTCTCTCTGTCACACACACACACACAGAGCAGAGTAGTAGAACAAGTCATTCTCTGTCACATGGAAAGGTCTTAATTTTGCCCCACTGATCCATGTTTTCAGGGCATTTGAGATCTGCAGCCTTTCTGATGAATATTCACAAAACTCCCTGTTTGGTTTATCAGTATCAGCTTGGATTCACCGTGTCATCTTTAATGCTTCGTTGATTGAATTTTAGCACCGTCCTTCCACCGGCTACATCTTAAATCCGACATTAGAGGATCAGCGGATATTCCAAGTGCTGAGAGCTGATCGCTCAATCTGTGAACGCTGAGAAATATCACACCTAGTTAACAATGATAAGTCAACCTGCTAATGGGAAAGCTGACTCATAGTTAATCACTGAAGTGCAAGTTTCACCAGGTCTCGCTGTTGTTTAATAAAAGGTAAACTAATGTCTTTGGTTTGTAGATGAAACAAATACATGAGAGAAATAAATGAGTTAATTCTCTGCAGTAAAAAAAAAGATGATACATTTGAATTGAATTGAAATTGAAAACTGTTAAGATGTAAAAAACTGCATTATTACATGTTGGAATAACATGAAGCCTTAACATCTCTCTGATATTAATGTGTTAACTTGCCCAGACAAACCGACTGACCTTTTTTTTTAATATTCGGCTGCGATCAAATAAAATGAGATCTGTCAGGTGTGTTTGTCATCTTCGCCCTCGTGAACGCATTCCTGTGCGACTTTCCCAAAGTCGACTTTTATTTGACTGGGACATTAAAGGCCTCCATCATGAGAGACTCAAGGGCAGATCATTCAAAGGCACCGAGTCCCATCCAGGTTTCTGACCCTTTGTTACGTCATTAAAACCCAGACCAGCGTGACAGAGGAGAGTGCTGACGCATACCCGACAACACACGGACACCATTCCTGTTGTGGAGAAAATAATAGACCCAAGCAGGAAATGCACTCATCTCCAGAGACTCTGTCAAGCAGCCAATCATCACTCACCCCCCCGCCCCCTTCTCTTATTTCCTCTAATGTGAATCTGACACAGGAAGCAGCTCCGCAGCCTTTTAACTTTGGTTTGGACTTTCCTTTATGCCAGGAAGAAAAGAAAGAAAAGCACAGACAAAAGTAGGGTTAGCTGTTAATAAAAATAATTTAAAATATATATATATATACATATATACTGTATACAGACACACACACACACATATGTATGCTTTTATGTATGTTTATATATAGAGTCATATATATACACATATACTTTATATAGTATAACAGTCCATTTGTTAAAATGTATTGTATGTAAAATATATATATATATATAAATTGTATCTAAATTCTAATGTTTAAGGTTTAGACATTGTTGAGTGGGAGGTGGCAAATACATGTTGAGGCATTCTGTACTTTTTACTTCCTGTCTAATTGACCAAGGGAGTAAAAGTGCTACTTTCTGTGTCTCTCTGACTATGTCTGACTTTTAGTTTTTATGTTTTTCTTTTTCTTTTTTAACACCATCTTATTTTCTCCCCCGTCTCCCCTTCTGCTGCCGGCGAGCTCTCAAACAGTCTCTTCTGCTCTTTTATTCCCCTAATTTGGTCTCTTCTATTATCACGTCGCCCCCTCCCTGTCTCTTCTCTCCCCGTACTCCTCTTCAGCTCTTGTCAGGGAGAAATGACCCTTCTGGTAGAAGATATTGATAGACAGAGTGGAAGTGCAGCGTATCTTTGTCTCACAGACCATTCTATTTCTTTTCCCATTTTCTTGTACGTCGTGATAGGACACTGAAAGAAAGTGTATTTGGAGGCGAGGAGAGAACAAATAACGTGTAGATGTAAAGATAAGTTGCAAGAATTTCAAATTTAATGGCAGCAGTGAGAAGAAGTCTGGACACATTCTCATCCAGTGTTACTAGTTTTAACATTTAACGTTTTTTTTTTTTCCGTAGGACAATCAAAGTTGAGGTTTACGATTGGGACAGAGATGGCAGGTAAGAACAACAATGGTCTTAATCATAAATGATTGATTATCAATGTCTGTGAGTTTTAGCTCACTGTGTGTTTGCAGTACTGTAGGTAAGGATACAGGCTGCAGCTTTGTCACAGACTGTCTGCTTAATGACGAGTCTGGGTCGTGGCTGCTGACAGCAGCACAAAGAAAGAGGAGAGACAGTTGTCAAGCTGCAGCTTCACACACACAGGCCTTTCTCTCCTCTTTCCACCACCAATCAGTCATTTGCGTTTTGATAGTAGGAACACTATCGAATGATAGAATACAAGCAATTTTCGAACCAGTTATGTTGCCTGATAATTTTCATGTCCATTGAAAATTTGTCTCGGTGTCACTGCTCCGACTGAATATCACACTTTATGCTGACGATCTCGTTATCTTCCTGTCTTCCAGTCACGACTTCATTGGCGAGTTCAGCACCAGCTACAGGGAATTATCCAGAGGGCAGAGTCAGTTCAATGTCTATGAGGTGAGATGTGTGTGTGTGTGTGTGTGTGTGTGTTCATTAACTCTACTCCAAAAATAAACACATCTGTATGTATTAACAAATAACAAATATATTACGATTCCCAAACCACTGTGCCGCTCATACAGTATTGTAGTGTTTCTACAATGGCACAAATTTAAAAATTCCCCCAATAGGTGCCGCTAAATAGTTATAAAAATTAAAAAAGAGAGAGAAAGAAATTAGAGCTGTTGTGAATGATCTTGGTGTTTCTTTCTTCAATTCCTGCGAGTCAATTGGAGACTGTCATTTTTATAGTGTTCATGATTCAAAAGCCAAGTTCACAAGAACAATCATTATATTATACATAACTTAAATTTTTATTATATGTACTCCCATATATGTACTCCCATATATGTACTCCCATATAATAAAATTATATGGTGTTGAACATTGTCTTTTTTGTCTTTCTCTCTCTCTCCCTCTCCCTCTCTCTCTGCCTCACACACACACACACACACAAAGTCACAGGCAGTGACTGTCATGATGGCTTATCTCGTCCCTATAGGAGGCACCATAGCTTGATTAACGGAGCACCACACTGCGGAGAGAGCTCAGGGCTTCGTCCTGTTGAAGGGCTGTTGTTTGTCTGAGCGATCAGTTGTGCACACACACACAGTGTGAGTGTGTGTGTGGGGGGGGCAAAAGCAGCACAGAGAAGGAGAAAGAAATCATACAAAGACGGACGAGGCAAAAAAATTAACTTTACGATCTCTGACTCTTTCCTCCACCTCGGATTTAAAACCTTAAAGGTGTGAATTAAAGAGACGGACGATTTCCACGCCTGAGGCCACTGTTTGTGTGCGTCTGCGTTATAACCCTGCCTCAGATGCTCTACCCTCAACTGCCACAGGAAAACCGTGTCCTTATGTTGTGTGTGTGCCTATTGTTATGTGAAGCAAGGAGAAAGGCATAAATCCACAAATTTGTACGTCGTTGTCCCCGGAGGTCCTTTTGTTCTGTTTGACCTTGGCACAGATTAATTAGACCATAAAGCTGTGATTTAGAAGCCCAGTCCAGTGTTTGGGATTCAGAGTGAGGTCCGCACTTAAATTGGCCGCCTGTTTCAGTAATGTGGCTGTGTGGTTAATACAGTGTAACATCTGGAACAGGGGAAGTCTGGGAGTTTTACCTTCTGAGCGTTTCAACACAGGTGACTGAATTCGTGCCTTCACCACCGTGTGCTGTCATTTGTTCCTGTTTACTAATTCACACTTTCTTAGTTTCCACATCTGGAGTTTTTCCCCATTGATTTAACTGGTCTTTGGGATTTGTTGGGGCCAAACTAAGAGGCGTGCATGCACCATATAGAACTCATATTATTCCATGAAATTGAAACAGCAGGGAGGAAGAGAATAACATGACACGTTGTTTTTTGTTTCTTGTTTTTTTTTTATCAACCAGATCCACTGCCAAAATAACATGACACGTTGTTTTTTTGTTTTTTGTTACTTGTTTTTTTTATCAACCAGATCCACTGCCAGTGCAGTTTTTTCTCACTTTTCTCATTATAATGGATTTTGGTTCAGGTTTGGCTTTTTAAAAAACAACACGTGAACACAGCATTGATTGGAAGCTTTTTTTTGTTTTGCAATTAAAATTTGAATTTGTGAATCTGTCTTCCAGGTGGTAAATCCAAAGAAGAAAGGGAAGAAGAAAAAATACCTGAACTCTGGAACGGTAAGGCTTAACTTTTAATGTTCTGTTCAGGTTTTTTTAAAAGCAGAACTCAGTCAGTCAGAATCAGTGTTTAAAGGCAAACATATATGAAATATTGCGTTTTTGCGTATTTTGTTTCACAATATCGTATTGATATCCTCCATCACTGTATAGATTTGTTTTCTCACCAATTCCCAGTCCAATATTTCTGGTGTTGGTTCTTTTTTTTTTTTTCTTTTTTTTCTTCTCTAGTGATTCCAAATGTAGATCCCTCTGTTCCAGTGTTAGTAACTTACTATGGTGACACTACAGTTACAAAAAAACAAACTCATATTGTCGTGCCTATAGTAGCGCAGTATATCGCAATGTATCGTATTGTTGCCCCTGTGTTGTGATATGTATCATATCGCCAGATTTGTGCGAACACAAACCCGTAGTGTATTTTACAAGTTATAAATATATATAAATATATATGTACTGTATGTGAGAAATATAAAATATAAAGGTTTTATTATTATTATTATTATTGTAATGAGTCTTGGCCTCTTGTAGTCTTCCGTCTACAGAGGTCTTCATAACTTGGTCGTCCAACGTGTGCTGAGATCTCATCGTGTCTCTTTGTCCAACAGGTGACTCTACTGTCTTTCCTGGTGGACATTGAAGTCACATTTCTGGACTACATCAAAGGAGGGTGAGTCTGTGATCATCCACTTAATCAAACTACAGTCGGACACAGACCTGTGGCCGTGGTTCTTTAATGAGATGTGACATAAGTCAGGAGCAACAGGTGACGTGCTCCATGTGTGTGTGTGTGTGTGTGTTCGTGACGTTGTGTTTTTATATTGTGTTTGGGCTGTTGTCGCTCCTTGTGTGTGTGTTTGTGTTTGTATGTTTGAAAGGTGGAGTTACTGTGTTCAGCCAGGCACGACTTGAACGCTCGCCTACACACTCTGCCTTCATTAGGCTCACAGAGGGGGGGAGTGTCAAGGGAGAGAAAGAAAGGGAGATAGTGTGTGTGTGTGTGAGTGTGTGTGGCTGAGATCTGAAGACCAGGTTCTTGAATGTTATTTACATTACATTTATTTTCTTTCACGATGAGAATTAATACGAGAATTGATTGTCACTGTGGCCTTGTGCCTCTGCTGGATTCCCTAGTGTAGTGGTTTTCAAAGCAGGGGACGCAGCCCCTCGGGGGGCCACCAGGGTTCCTCAGAAAATTGTAGAAAACATAAGAAAAGCAAAAAAAGATTTTATAATTAATTTTCCTGAACCATATAACATGTAAACTGCCGTAATCATCAGAGTCTCAAGTTTACGATGGTACCTGAACGCATCTCAGGTGACAGCTGCTATAAACAAACCTAATCTTAAGCTGACCTTAACCATTAATAACTGAAATATTAACATATATAACATAACATATATATGACTGCAGCTGGAAACATATTTTTAGAAAGAGAAAATATTATATACGGAGCTGATAGTACCAGGAAACCAGGTAACCAGGTTTTGTTCCATAACTTGAGCTTTAACCATCTATCTTCTTGACTTGAAGTATTGATTGACACCTCTTGACATTTCTTGCATAGAAATGTTTAATGTAAAACAAATGAACTCGAGGACCGAATGTGCCTCGGGTGAAAGACGGCGTCCACAGTATTGACAGGCCGCTGTAGTCAGTTTTGACGTGACCTTGTTGGTAGCCTGTGTGGGTCTCGGCGACAGTAACCTCGGTTGTCATGGAGATGACTGTGGGTCATTCAACAAAGTCATTAAACACTTTCAAATTGGAAAAGAAAATCCAAACACTGCCTCGTTACATGCTGTTCACTTACAGTATGGGCTGGAACCTGATGTAATCCTTTGACAGCTACACTGACGCCTCCATCAGACATGTGAGGTGGAGAAGGATTAGCACCGCAGTGCATTATGGGGCTAACAGTCTGTTGCTGCTTTGTCAGTGTCCAGAATCGTGTTCCTGTTCTGGTTTAAGATTTGTTCTGCCTTATAAGGAATTGTAGTTATTATTATTAAAAAAACACACAATCTATTTAAGAATTGAAGTTTAAAAGAGAATAATTCATATTCCACAATCACACCCACAACAATCTTTATAAAATGCTCACATTTTAAACATGGATTTTATATATATTTTTAAAAAACTATTCTAAAGACACTCATAAATGCTGGTATTGGTGCTGTACCAGTGCTGACCAGCAGGTGCTGGCAGTAAAACAAAAAAAAAATTAAATTAAAAAAGAAATTCTTATGTCAACCAACATATGTCTACAGTATGTGTCATATTGTCATATCACACCCGTCATCAAGTCTCCATTCAGACAAGGCCATGCTCCCAGCAGAACCAATCAGTCAGTCTGACAGCACCTTGAACCTCTCATGAAGACAGTGTTAAAAATCCAAATGGACTCTGCTCCACCCTTGATATTTGTACTACGGTGATTTATTTATTTTCTTATATATTTTTAGACATTTATGTTTCTGTTTAGAGGCAGTTATCTCTCCCACGTCTCTCTTTTTTTTTTGCAGCCAAAACCCAATCAGCTAATTGTTCATTTGGACCTAATTAGGAACATGATCTGCTGGCAGCATTAGCATAAATGACTGATCTGAGAGGTCTCCATCTCGTCTCAGAGCCTTAGCTGCACTCATTCTTTTCACTCCCTCTGACAAAGAATTTTCACCACCCGTGGATTCCAGTAAATACAGGTCTTTATTCGAGAGCCTGAAGCTAAAAATAATGACATTAATAATAATAATAATAATAATAATAATAATAATAATAATAATAAATGCTGGCTGTATTTTTCTTTTTCGCTGTGCCATTGTAGGCAGTCCTGTCAGTCAATGTGACAGATATTGTTCCCCGTGTTTTGGGTTTGTGAATTGAGAATTGAAGCCAGAATAGAAGCAGGAGGGAACTCTGCTGGTATTGAAATGACTCCGAGAGGTTATCATTAGACAGGAGAGCAGATGTGCACACTCCCTGTCTGTTCATAGAATCATTTCAGCTTTTGGGTTAGACCTCAGAGAATGGACTCCTTCTAGCAGTGTGGATTTATTGACTCCTCTGCCTCAACGCAGGTGCTAGGTTCTCCTCTCTTCACTGTCTTAACTATCTGTTTTTATTCCAAGTCAAATTGAACCACTTCAGTTGCTGCGTTAAAGTAACAATGCACGTGTTTTCTTTTGATTTTTTTTCCCCCCACTTTTAGACAAAATATTGACTTTTTCTTGGAATCAGTTTTTGATTGTGTTTGTTGTTTGGCTGTGTTAAAAACGCACTGTAGCCAGATTACTGAGTGCTCAATGAAACTCAAGTAGCTGTCGCTTGTGCAGCGCAGAGTGCTCAAAGAAACTCAAGTAGCTGTCGCTTGTGCAGTCACATCATTGCAGCCATCAATCAAGACACTCCAGCTAAGATATTTTTCTATGTTGTATGTCATTTAAACTAGATTTATATTCATGAAAGTGAAAAAAAATCATAATAATAAAAAAAATTATTTCATGGACCCCAACATTTAAAAACACTATACTTGGAGATTTTATGTGGATGCAGAGATTGATGAATAGTGGTGACATTTGACATATCATATGCTGGAAGTAGTAGGTAGCGCCCCCTGTTTGTCAACAACAACACGACTTATTCTTGAAGTCAGGGTTGATGTGAACCTTCAGTCCATGAAAACGACTGGAGAAGTTTCTTCTATCTTCTGGCCTCAGAGCAAAAAGCCATTTGGTATAAAAGTAGGGCTGATCTCGCATCACTGACCTCCGTGAGTTGATATTGTGTTTCTGCCGCCAGAAAAACCTTATCACCTGCACCGGCGTTTCACTGCCTTTTTTTTTTTTTTTTTTCAGTTTGCTGCAGATTCCGCCTCCTCGCTGCTCAGGTGGTTTCATATCAGTCCGAGCAAATATTTCATTTTGTGCGGACGAGTGTGGGTGTGCACACACTCGGTGTGTTTGTACTGTATGTGTGTATGTGCATTCTCCCCTCTGCTTCTTGTCACCTTATATCTGCAGTGACAAATGTAATGTGCCTCAACCAGAGAACATGCCATGGAAACCACCACGTTGCCTCGCAACCTCTGCTGCCAAATGTCTTCATACAAGAACGGAGAAAATAGCGAGCGGTGTTTGATTCCAGTTGAAAACTGCACAAACATAGACGAGCTTTAATGAGGCGCTTTACCGTAATTCATTCATGTCAAGATTCTTTTTTTTTTTCTTTTTTAAAGGCCAGAGTACCTGGTGTCCAACAAACACAGAGCAGAAAACGGTCCCTAATATCTTTTTTTTTTTTTTTTCAAACTTTTGTCTGATTAATGCAGAGGATGTAGTTGACCTTTTTGGAGATGGTCCTGTGTTCTGGTCTGGTTATTAATAGTCTCTGCTTCAGAGTCAAAACGATGATGCCAGACATCATAAGTCTGGTTTTCACTTTGTGAAACAGGAAACTCTGACACTGACTGGGAGTGTTCTGCTGTTGCTGCTGCTGTTGGCTGAGAATTTTATAGCTTTATTAGAAACCCGCTCTTACATCAGACTTGATCAGTTTGGTCCGTCGTAAGTCATCAAGTGTAACTGACTTTCAAAAAGTCTTCGTCGTTTCCAGGTTTCTTCAGTATTTAAACATGAACTACTTGTCATTGTGACACAGCACAAAAACAAATGTGACCTCTGCTTTTAACCCGTGGTGCCTTACTCAGAGCACCTTAGTCGTAACTTGCCAGCTGGTGGACTCGAACCTCAAACCCTCCTGACCCAAAGCCGCTTCCTTAACCACCAAGCACCTCCAAAAAAAATAAAGTAAAAAAAATTTAACTCATTGTCTGATAGACTAATATTGTAGTTAGTTGGAAGGAAAAAACGTATTTATTGGCTGTCCAGCATCAGCCAATAAGACGACAGTTTGTATTCTACACAGCTACAATTCTATACATTGTAGAGATTTTTTACATAATCCAGATTTTATTTTTTGCACCAGACCCACTGACGGTCTGATGGGAGGTCGTATCTTTTAAATTGTATCTTTTAAATGCCACATAGGAGCTAATGCTACTTTGCCTCATGGTAAAGAACTAAGATATCATATAAAGAGAAATACTGTCTCTGTAGTCCGGTACCAAATGGTCCACGGCCTGGAACTGGTCCCCGGCCCACTGGTTGGGGACCATGCTTATGTTACATCGTTCTGATCATGAATTTTCTTTCATTCTTTTTTTTAACTTTTCCTTTCTCTGTCTGTTGTTATGTCCGTTTGTGCAGCGCGGTGCCTGCGCTTCACTCAGTCCTGCTGAGGTGACGACGATGAAGAGCTGCTGGCTGTGTCACACTAACTGAATTCAGAAGATGTGTATAAGATAGACAGGAAAGCGGGGGAGGTGTGTGTGGGGGGCTTCTCTGTGTGTGACTCTGTGTTTGTTGCGCCAAGTGGAGATTGGCGTGAAAAAGCTATGACAGGTCGACGGAGCACTTAACCACATCCTGTTCCTGCAGGTTAACAAGATAGGAAATGTTTTGATGGAGAGAGGCGTTCCACTCTCCTGCTGGCTGCTGAGGTGTGTGTTGTGTTCCCTCACCCTCTTCTATCATATCTGGCCATTCCTTTACTGCTGCTGTTGTGTGCTGGGTTCCCTACAGTATGTGTAAGGCCAGGCAAGTCAACTTAGGTCAGAGTTGACACTTGGCTGGTTGACCTGCAGGCTGTTTAACTAGACTTTACTTCCTCTGAGCAACGTTATACTTTTTGTGTTTGGCGTGAACGCATGTTAGCGCTACTCTTTACTGCCTCTGCTCAAGGGCAAGAGAACTACATGTAAAAAAAAACCTTCTTCTGAGCAGCATTATACTTTTGTGTTTGGCGTGAACGCCTGTTAGCGCTACTCATTACTGCCTCTGCTCAAGGGCAAGAGAAACATTGTTTAGACTCTGAGGGTTGGTAGCATTAACCCAGTGATTCCCAACCACTAAACTGGTCTGAGAAGTATTGTGAGAAGTGAGGTGTTAACCCAGTGATTCCCTGGTCTGAGAAGTATTGTGAGAAGTGAGTGCAATAAAAAATAACTCCTTGTTCACCTGTGAAGATCCACAAGTGTATGTTTCTTCAATTCCTGCTAGTTTATCATCATTGTGTTCAACTAAACAGGCCCAGGTTTCACACAATTAGAAAGTCAATTGTGGTCAAATTGAAAATAGAAAATACTTTTGTTTTTTACTAAATATATTTCCATAGAGTACGTGGCAGTATTGTTTGGAAATTTTTAAAAGGTTCAGAAATATTGCATTAACGTGATGTTGCCTGTGTTTATCAATGCAGCAAAGGGGCAGATTTCTTAATGCTGAATATTTTTCTACTTTCTTCTCTTTCCCCCTAGGACACAGATCAACTTCACAGTGGCCATTGATTTCACTGCATCAAATGGTGAGCCTTCAGTTATAAACATATCCACTCCAAATGGAGCACACAGTGCGGTGGAGAAATGACACGGCGAGGGAATGTTTATTTAAATATATGTAGATGGGGGATCAAGTGTTTCCTAATAACCCTGTGTGTCACACCCGAGTGCAGTAACGAGCTTCAGTGGCTGTGATAAAGGACCGTGTTATCCATCTACCCTAAATTCTATTAAATCAAACGAGAGCCTCTCAGTCACTCCATGGAAAAAACACTTTTGAGGTTGAGCACTTGTTCCTGCTTGACTCTTATTAAAATGTCAATATCCAAGGCAGGGTATTTAAAAAAAAACCTTAATAGAATGAGTTAAACTCTGTACTCACTGATTAGTACAAGTGTCTTATTAACAGATAATTGGAAATCAATTTGCTGCCATTATTGACTAAATGCATTCGTTCATGTCGTGTCACACAAATTCACACTAATTGGAAACCAATTATTATGTTGTTTTTCTTTATAGTGTTAGGACTGATTAGCAGCAGCTGGAAGTTTCTACCAAATAACCAGAAAAAACAGCTGCTTAAACTTAAGACACAAATTCACTTGTTGTTCGTTTGTATTTAATCGTCCATCCTGACAGAACAGGCTACAAATCATCTGAACCCCGTAAGCTCAAAACAAGTTGTCAGTTATTGTTTGAACTTCAGTTCAAAATGCAAAAATCCAGGCCAAACGTGACATAAGAGTTGATAAAAAATAATGCTAAAATACCTGAGAAGAGCAAAGTATGACTTCTTCAAAATAACCTCCTCTTTCTTTAACAGCCTGGGATAAACCAGGCATTTGGCCACAAAATGTTAAAGTATGTGCCAGGAATTTCATTCCAAGTTTTCTTAAGTCCATGAGTGAGAGATGGCTGACAAACTTTTCTGACGCATTGATCCAATTCATCCCACATAAAATCTTGTTAAAGCCAAAAGTTGAGACCAAATTTCCTGATTATATTTCCAACTTGGCGGAGGTAAATGATAAACAGAGATGAGCCCAGGACAGAACCATGAGGAACACCAGTGGTCACAGGGGAGAGTTTGAAATGATGATGTTCTTGATACCTATCGTCATATCTTTATATATTTATGTGTCTGTACCAAAAAGAGATCCTAGACACATTAGTTCCTTCACATCAGGGCATTTCATTTGGATTTAACACTCGACGTTGCTGTGTTGCGTTGTCCTTCCACCCACAGGTAACCCAGCCCAGCCCACCTCACTCCACTATATGAGTCCCTACCAGCTAAACGCCTATGCCATGGCTCTGAAGGCCGTGGGGGAGATCATTCAGGACTACGACAGCGACAAGATGTTCCCCGCACTGGGATTCGGGGCAAAGTTACCACCAGATGGCCGCGTCTCGCACGAGTTTGCTTTGGTGAGATTAAGAATGAGCCGAGGATGGAGGACAGGAAGTAATTAAGTAGTGATTAAAGTTATCGCTCATCTGTTTTGCAAAATGCAGAACGGGAATCCTCAGAACCCGTACTGCGCAGGTATCGATGGCGTGATGGAAGCGTACTATCAGAGTCTGAAGTCAGTGCAGCTTTACGGCCCCACGAACTTCTCCCCTGTCGTCAACCATGTGGCCAGGTACGATACAGACGACCTTTATCAAAAGTATCTTTTATTTTATGCGTGTTTACTGTTGAATAAGTGCGATCGCTGCTTATGTAACCTCAGCCTCACATGTGTGAAAAATACAGTTTACTTTAATAAGCTCGCCGCATGCAGAGTTGCCGTGCCGCTAACGAGAAAGAGAGAGGCAAAGAAATATGGACACAAACAGAGAAAGTACCTGTAGATCTGCTGATTGCATGTTTGTTTGTGTCTGTGTGTCGGTGGGAACATAATTTACGTTGCGAGAAAACCAGGCATACAAACTGGATCTTGTCAGAGTTTTCAGAAGGAAAAAGAGGGGAAAAAAAGAGAGAGAGCAAAAAGAAATTAAGAAACTATTCACGCAAACCTATAATTAAAGAGATGTGCACAAGTGAAGTCTCTCATCAGGATGCTTCACATATTTAGAACATAATTTGGTGAAATCCTAATTACACGGTTACACGTGAAGAGGCAAACGCACACGGGAGGGAAATGGTGAAACAGGGATTAATAATTAGGCAGAGTTTACTTTCTAAATGTCACCTGAACAGCCATTCACTTCACCCAGATTATTTCCCCTTCAGGTCACTGATGCTCACTCCAGGTGTTGAAATGTGTCGGAAAATGCGATAAAAAAAACAACATACTGTTAAGATTTAGGGGGTTACACTCCTGTCACCAAAAACCTGGGGGGTGTTAACGTGTTTGCTGGTCCGCTGAGAAAAAATAGATACACCGATATATCGTGATATTTCGGTACTTTTTTTAAGTAATTACAATAATAATAACAAAATTCTTTTTTTTTTATTTCTTCTCTAGTAATTACAAATGTAGATCCCTCTGTTCCAGATCACACAGTCACTGAGTTAAAGTTAGTATTTCTTTGCTCTAGAAATAGAACCTTTTTGTGTGACCAGATGTGTGTGTTTTCTTTCTGCAGGTACGCAGCCTCGGTGAAGGACGGATCCCAGTACTTTGTGCTCCTCATCATCACAGATGGCGTCATCTCAGACATGGCCCAGACCAAAGAGTCCATTGTCAACGTGAGGAACATGTTTATTTTTTTTTTATACTGATGACGATTGTCTCATAAAGAGGCAAAATATAAAACTATACAAATGTCAAACCTGATTTATATGGCAGTCTAGTGTATCTGAGAGACCTGCTGTGGCTGTGTAAAATAATAGTGACATTTTATGTTGTTGTTATTCAGCTTTAATGATGAAAAGCCATTAACAGCATCTCACTAAAGATAATTATGCAGCATCTTTGACTCTTGGAATCAGTGTAGATATTAAGGATGATAGAGTGTGGATGGTCTGTGTTCCCAGAACTGATGACTGCACATTTACATAGAACAGAATTAAATATTAATATTGACCATTTTCATTTATTTTAAATAGGAGAAAAAAATTAAACTACCTCATGAAGAAAGGCGTATTGATCCTTATGTACAGTCACAAAAAAAAAGTTAAAATATTTTTGATACACAAACCATGCACAGTGGCCCCTCTGACAGCCTGTTGTACGCCCACCTGCCCGTCAGTCCTCTCCATCCACGTCCTTTCACGCTCCAGATAGATGTCAGTGTGTGGAATACAAAACAAAACCGTCAGTGAACCGCAGCCAGTTTTTTTTTTTTTTTTTTCTCAAAGCAAAAGAGGGAGATGATAAAGAGAGATGAAGGTGGCAGAGATTAGTGAACAGGAAAAATAAGAGTAAAGATGTAAAAAAAAAAAAAACCTGCTACTGAGATATGTTGATAAGATCATCCATTCCTCCACTGCCTGAGGTCGACACCTTACTCAGACGAGCCAACTTACACCGCTGGCCTTTTGTCTCCCTAACACACCCCTTTGTCATCTTACATAGTCTCACACACACACAACACAAGCATGTGATTTGTAAGCTGTCAGTGGTTGAAGCCAGGGTTGCTGATTGTCCCTCATATCCCCGATATTATTCACTGGGATTACGTTCCCGCCCACGCGGCGCTCCAGGAGGTGCTGCAGAAAAAGACGCACACATCAAACAGACTCACTACATATGGTCACACATACTGTATGTCACGGTAATGTTGGCAAACCGTCAGAACGTCTCAGTGCTGAAAGACGTACACCAAGGTCGGAGTACGTGTGGTGAAATGATGGCCCTGGTTCCCCCGGCCTGGACAGTTTGGAGAGCAGATTGGGTCTGGAAAAAAAAATTGATGAATTGTTTAATTTGATGTCTGATAATCAAGGCCAAGTCTGCCATGTCGGGGGGGAGGGAAAGGGGGGTCCACTGAGAGAGAGCACTTCCACCACATGTTTACTGCCGATTATTTCATTTTTTAGATGCTTTGTAAAGAGTACAGATACCAAATATCTGTAAAGTTTTGTTTTTTCAGTTTTTTCTTTTCTTTCTGGTCTGGTGACAATCAAGTCATCAGTCACTGACTCATCAGTTTCTTCCTCTCCTCTCTGCAGGCTTCCTGTCTGCCAATGTCAATCATCATTGTTGGCGTCGGACCTGCAGAATTTGACGGTAGGTCAATAAACCCTCCAGACAGTTTTGCTGCCCCCATCAGTTCAGATTAGCATTAGCCGCTCGAGATGTTTTAATAAATACTTGCATTAGTCGCGTTTTATGGTTAACTAGGTTTTTTATATTAAATCAAAATGGTTTAAAGACATACTACATTTCTGATCCCTTTTCTTCTTTAATTCACTTGTTGTATTTCCACAGCCATGGTTGAGTTGGACGGTGATGAAGTCAGAATTTCATCCAGAGGAAGATACGCTGAGAGAGACATCGTTCAGGTAAAACCTCACTACTGTTTCTACTGTTAATGCTTTAATAAAGACAATAACGAAAAAAACTGTGTTAACACGGTTATAAAGTAGTATTATTTACATGAATCATGGGGAAAAAAGGGACCAGGTGGGACACCATGATACTGGAGCCCGTGGGCCTCTAGAGTCCAGAAGCCACTGGGCAGAGGTCCATTCTGTTAAATTAGCTTTGGCAAAAAAATACCGCCGTTAGCAGTCATAACGAAAAAAACTGTGTTAACACGGTTATAAAGTAGTATTATTTACATGAATCATGGGGAAAAAAGGGACCAGGTGGGACACCATGATACTGGAGCCCGTGGGCCTCTAGAGTCCAGAAGCCACTGGGCAGAGGTCCATTCTGTTAAATTAGCTTTGGCAAAAAAATACCGCCGTTATCAGTCTGCTGCCAGTCGCCTTACTCTGAGTGACATTTGTGAATGCCAACCAGCAGGAAGACAGATCACAACTCTGAGTTGAGTCCACGTGCAGTGAGAAAAGAGAACTTAAAAAAACACAAACTATGAAATGTACAGTACAAGCCGGGCTTCATGAGGTCGATGTTTACTTTTGATAAACACCACCTCAACTGTCACAATGGGTATTTTGTTAGCTTTGCTAAGCTAACTTAACTAGGAAACTACACAAGCTGTCAAAGTCCCAGGCCACTTCAAGTCCAGGGTTGGACACAAAACAAAACAAAAAAAAAAGAAAATCATCTTTCATTTGGTTATTATAAAAACTGACAAAACTGAACCAGCGTTTCTCACTGGATCCATTCAACAGATGTCTTCAGCCACAGATGTGTCTCAACCTTGTTTTTATTACCGTCCCTTCAGGTTTTAGCTCAGAATTCATCCTTTTGTTCACATTTAACTTTTTATTTCTTATCCTAAAAGAACTCCTAACAGACAGAAGTGAATATCACAAACAACAGATACAGTGTTCCACAGCTGTGGTACACGGTCAAGTCGCGACCTTTTCTCGCCTCGACCACATGGTCGTGGTACACGCTCGTTACTTGGCTTTTTAATGAGCTGAAGCTCTCACGTGTACACAAGCAGTGTGTGCAGTGAAGACCTGAAGATGAAACTTTGAACGTCGGCTACAGCAGCTCCACTCCTGGCTCTCATTACCAACAAGCTAATAACCCAGGGTGACACAGCAAGGTTTCTTAGCACAAATTGGGCCCTGACTTGATCCTGTGACTGTATGTGACAACAGCTCATTAGGAAAATGAAACAAAAACGCTGCCTGTCACATCTGTCCACGTAGTGTTTGTTTTGAGGTTTCTTCACATGTGTGAGCTCAGCAGCTGTGGAGGGTTTTTTTGACACCAGGCGTGATTTTAAATTAGCAAATGGCTATTAGTTTAAAGCAAACATTTTGACTCGTGCTAAAATGTTTGACTGGCAACTAGGTTCAGTATTGGTTGGATGTAGAATGCTGAGTGAAATTGAATAAATAAAATGTACAAGAATAAACCTAAACTTTCCAAGTTATTTTTGCACATTTGATGTCCCCCGCCATCTAGTGGAATCCACAGAAATGACAGTCATTTCATATCAATGCATGAAACAGAGGGATTAATGTCAGTCTTTACCGTTCTTCGTACCAATGTTTGGCGGGCCGTATTAGAAAGCCTAGCGGGCCGTAGCTGGCCCACAGGCCATAGTTTGCCCAGTTAAATAGACTTCACCCAGGGCTTTGTTCACACTTTAGGTCTTGATGTTAAATTCCAACATTTTTTTTGGGCGGAGTGTGTCATATATATTTTGTTGAATATATGTTGCAGACTATTTTAATTTCATTTTAAACATGTCTCTCCATCAGTTTGTTCCATTCAGAGATTACATCGACCGCACCGGGAACCACATCCTCAGCATGGCCCGGCTCGCCAAAGACGTCCTGGCCGAGATCCCTGACCAGTTCCTGTCCTACATGAGAACCCGTGGGATCAAACCGTCACCCGCACCGCCACCGTACTCACCACCGGGACAATCGCTTCAGACCCAGATATGAGGTCGTGGACGTGCAGGAGGTTTTTGTCCCAGTCGGTGATCAACTGAACTGACTTAACGCTCGAATACTTCCATTTCCGTAATGCCGCTCTCTAAGCCTTGTCATCGTGAGTCACGGCGGTCTTTCTTGTGTCCGGGAAGTTGCATGTCGGGCCAAGAGTGCGATGCCTGTGAGCCCAGGGAACGCCAACGAGAGGCTGTTTACGTTCACCACTGTCAAGCATTCCTGATAACTGTTAATTCGTCCTGGAAAACGTCTTGATCCTAACTGGGATTTTTTTATGCGGGTCGGCATTCGAGCAGGAAATAATCTGACCTTTTGACCCTCCTGGTGAAGGAAGGAGGGGAGGAAGGAAAGGATAGAGAAGAGAAGAGGAAGGAAGTGAAGTTTCACAGAAACAAGAAATGAATCAGTTTGTCTGAAACAAACTAACTCATGTAAATAACTCTCTCTCTGTCTCTCTCTCTCTTTCTCTCTCTCTGTCTCTCTCTCTCTCTCTCTCTCTCTCTCTCTCCAGATAACACACTGTTTACAGTTAATGCGAATGAGGATTTTTACTGTTCATACTTTTATACACTTTCATTATGAAGAACCAGTTTCTCTCTCTCTCTCTCTCTCTCTCTCTTCTGGCCTGTGTGTCAGGTAGCAGCAGTGCAGGTCCTGGTAGCCCTTCTGTACCGTACCGTACTGTGCTGTACCGTACCGTACTGTATTCTAGTGTTTGTATTAACCTTTTGCATGAGTGTAGCCTCAGTCTAGTGCATGCATTTAGTGGTCCTGCACTACCTCTTCTACCATCCATCCATCCATCCATCCATCCATCTATTCACCCATCCATGGCTGACTGGCTGTGTGACGGTCTCCGTCTGTGTGTGTGTGTGTTCCACCTTCTCACTCTGTCTGTTGTCTGTTGTCCTACCTGTCCGTCTCTTCCTTTGTCTCACGTCGTCTCCGTCCTCCGTCTCTGCTGTGTTTCCAGTTTAACTCTAATGTTTGGTTCTATTTGGGTATTTAAAGCACCTGGATTTTATTTTACTTTTAATCACTAGTTTATATTTGGTTACAATCCTACGACTCAGTTTGTCTCACTTTTAGGGAATAATTACATGCCTAGTGGACAGAAATATTTTCACGCACACATAATATGTATTTTCTTATCTGTACAAACCACTGTATGAGTTGCTGCCACCTAGTGGCCGGAGGCTTGTTTATCATTTAAGCGTTACAGCAGCGGCGCAATTCCAATGTGCCATAATCCATTGAAAGCCTCTCACACCCCAACCTCACTGCCCCCCCAACCCCTGGGGTGGTCTAGGCTAGGACAGAGATAGTGATGCAATTGGGTAAAAAAATACTTGGAACACCTGACCAATCAAAGCAGACCATCCAGCTCTAGAGTGAAAGCACGACCTCTAGGGCGGCAGCGTTGTTCCGTAGCCTTCAGGGGCCGACACTAGAGAGAGTTAAATGGAATCACAGCGACTGTCTCTGTCTCTGTCTCTGTCCTCGTCCTCGTCCTGGTCCTCCATCCTTCACAGTAGGATGCCCACACGCCCAGGGATTCTGTGTCATCGTGTGGTTAAATTCCCACCTCTTTGCCCGTGTTTAAAACGACAGCAGCTGCTCTCAAACAGAAAACTGTGTGAGCGAAACGAGCCCAGTGGTCAAAAATGCAAAGAAAAAAAACACACTTTCCCTGTGTTTGCTTTTGTTGTTTGTTTTTTAACAGTATATTTTTAATTGCACCTTTGATATACAGTAGCTTTTTATATGTTGGTTTTATACGTGTATTTGTACGTGTGTGTGTGTGTGTGTGTGTAAGGATTTCACAGGACAAACCTGTGTTCAGTCTAATGAATGAAGTTTTTTTTTTGTCTTTTGTGCGTCTGCGCTGGGTTGAATGAAGTGTGTGGTTGAGCAGCACAAAAAATGTTTCTTTGAAAACAACGTAACAAAAAGGTAAGAAAATGTCATTTATTGCTGAGCCGTTTTTTTAGTCCGCTAATCGATTATTATATTTGATTAAACTCTTATATAAATAGGTGAAAAAAAGACGTATGAAAATGACAGACTGCAGGAACAGAAAAAATATAAAAGTCAGATAAAAAATATCTACATAGAAATAACAACAATAATAATTTATATTGTATTTTCCGGACTATAAGTCGCACCAGCCAAAAAATGCATAATGAAGAAGAAAAAGTCACTATGTGTGACTATAACAAACGTGTAAGTTTCAGTGCTACATGAGTAGCAGATACTGTGTGAGTGCCCTCTAGCGGCTGTCAGTATACTCTGGATAATAGGTTGCACCAGTGAGTGCCCTCTAGCGGCTGTCAGTATGGTAACGAATATGTAAAATTATATATTTTAATATATGTGTCGCACCTGAGTATAAGTCTCAAACCCAACCAAAGGGAAAGAAGTGCGACTTATAGACCGGAAAATACAGTACATAAAGTGTGACTTATAGACCGGAAAATACAGTACATACATAAAAAGGAACTGTATTTCTGTTTTAATTTTACAGTAATATCACACTTACTAATTTTCTGCCGTCTTTTAAAGTCGTCATATCTTAACCCCCGGCGCCATGTGCAGCAAAGTAAGCGACCGTACGGAACCCATGTTTTTCATCAAAGAAGGACCAAAATTTCGGTTCAGGAAAATTGTTATTGAAATAAATTTCTCGATCAACTGAAGTCCATTTATCGATTAGTTTCGTGTTAGCCTTTCACTGACGTTGAAATTTAAAGTATTTTTTTAATCCTCGGCGATCTGACGTCACGCACTGAACACTGTCCGATAGTGAAATTATATTAACGGTTGACCTACACTTAAAGAATCACTATTTTCTTATATGTATATAAACAGAGACTTTAACCTGCCTAGCAACAATATTGAAAAAACGGGGAATCTACAGTAAGATGCCTGGGGAAATGAGATTGAAGCTAACGTAATATTTCTGTAATTATTTTTTGTTTTGACATTTTCTTTATGGTGTGGTGGAACAGTAGAAAGTGACAAAGTGTGTGTGTGTGTTTGAGTGTGAATGGAGGAGTTTTAGTAAATATGGTTAATCCCAGATTATTTGGAGGAGCTCTCATTCTGCCTAATGTTAGAGTCAACACTGCTTCTGAGCCCATGGTCTATTTTGGGTTAAAAATGAAAAAATAGTAATGACTTGAGTTACTTTTGGGGTAGGAACCTTTAGTCACGATTAGTTGTGATCACAATTAATTGATTAATTGAACTGAATCTGTAGATAAATCTAACTCAAGATCAAATCTACCTTTGAGGCTGCGGCAGGAAATGACATCACCTTAAAAGTACACACACAAAAAACCATTTTCCTCTTCACTTTCAACCCCTGCACTATAAACAGACACGGGACGTTGAACCGACAACACGTCTGTGAATCACCAAACTGTCGAGAGGAAAGAACGATCCTCGCGCCGCGGCTCATTAAACGGATCTTTACTGCCATAAAGCTTCACAGGAAAACTACCTCCTCTTTCTTCTCCTACACAGTACTACTCACTGGTATTAACTATTACTATAACTACTGGTACTACAGTACCAGCAGAACTCTAATGCCACGCCCTTTTAAACTAAAGTTCCAGTTCTTGATGATTTATAGAAGCTCGTAGAATGAAAACTAACAGAAAGCCATAAAAAAAAAAAATCAAATTTACAAATAGAATTCTGAAAGGAAAACATTGTTTCTCCTCGACAAACATTTGTAACTTTACTAATGAGAATTCCCAGTTTGTTAAATTAATTTTTGTGAGGCTTCAGGAACTCAATATTTGTATAATTATATTTAGGTTTATTGGAAAAATTCAAACTTAATACGTTTTAAATGAGCTGAGTTTAACGTAAAAAAAAACAATTTAAGCTTTTAATTTCAGTTCTACAAACAATTACAAAGACCATGTTTGCATATCTTTATATTTTTTAATTTTAGATTATTAGATTTATTATAACTAATCCAATAACTTAACGAGGCTCCGTGAAATCTGTTCTGTTTGATCGTGTGTGTGTTTTTATAAAGGTTTGAACAGACCATGTGAGGTGTTACACATCACATCTCTTTGTTTACTGACTCTATCCAAATAATCGATCGTATGCGTGTCATTTCTTCTTAATAACGTGCACTATGTTTGCATGTACAGTTTTACGAAGGTTTTCTGTTGAAAAAACAAAACAAAACAAACAAACCTGAGTGTTTTGAAGTATTATGCTCTGTATGGAAAGTATAACTGTACAAAAATGGCCTTAAATCTGTTACTGATTACTCTCTGAATTGTGCGATGCCTTCTTCGATAAAACTAATTGTTTAAAGGAATTAATTGTTATCTATTTTGTGTCGTGTTTCTATTGCTTTAGGGTGTAATTCTCTTTTTTTCCCTTTCCTTTGCACAAGTTCTACGACGAGAAGAAAAAAAAAGATTCTATTGTCTTGTACCTTTTTTTGAAATGGTGATTAATCAGAGAAAGCATGGCTGAAGTTCTGATTGTCTGACAATATATCATAGATGACTATTTATGTATTGAACTATGGATTTTTAATATATTATTCATATTAAACACAACATTTGCTGTACTTCTTGCTTCTTCTTTTTTTTACATTAAAAATTAGAGATAAAAATTATAAAACATTCAGTAGTTTACGCAGCCGGCTGAACAGAAAGCAAGCAGAGCTTTTTTTTTAATACCTCCAAACCGCTCCAAACTGACATATTTTTAATATGTGTAGAAGTATTTGGATGAAGTGAGTATATTCAAAAATTGTATTTGTTATCATTTCTATTTATTTCTGTCTTAGAGAGACTGTGAATGTAACCTTTTTCTGTTACCTCCATTTATCAGAATTTTATTTTGTTCGATGATTAACTTCTGTTAGATTGATGATAATATTAACAGCAGTAACTTTTTGGTAATGACAGCATCGCCGTCGTCATCATCTGCCACATTTCTCCTTGAAAGGAAACACAGCAGTAAAAGAAATGTCGGTGTGAAACTTTCTCCTTCACGACGACCACATTAACTGCGACTAATCCAACAGTGTTTCCATAGGAGCTGCTGTTTACTCTGTAACTTCACCCTGTCTGAGCCTGAGTGTATGATGCAGCTCCACTCAGTGTGATTCCTCACACTCTCTCTGCACGTGTGTTCTGCTCCAGTAATGAACGTTGAGTTGCTGTAATTGTTCCACATGTCTCTGTGTGAGAGAAGAAAAAAAACTTCATCAGGCAACTGAGGACAAAATAATTAACTCAAGTTATCTTCCATTTGGTCTGTAAAATCATTCAAACCCAATAGAAAGAAATATAATAATAAAAAAAGTGATTTATTTAATTCATGACAGGTAGCTGTTCTACGTTTAGTGTAATCTGTCAAACAATAATAACAATAAAGAATCAAACTGATGTTGATAGATAAACGATTACCAACGTGCACGCTATCTTATTTTGAAAGATGGCGGATGCTATCGTTGTTACTTCCGCTAACTGACCAAACGCAGATTTCAAGCCGCCTTCTCCTGACTTTAAGAATTAAATCGCTACAGAAGCCCTCGAAACTTTGACTTTATTGTCAACATTTATCGGCAGTGACAACAACCACAAAAGAACGAACTTCCGGCCTGACTAAGACTTCGACATAGCGATATGGTGAGTTGTTATATAACAATATTAATTAGTTTTTTTTATCGGTCGTATCTCTATGTATCGTGTTCAATTGAAGGGTTTTCGGTGCGAATATTCTTCTACGTGAAAGCGATTCACGGCGCATCACAAAAAGTAGAAAAAAAAAAGAAGAAAAGATTTGTTCTAATAATTAGTCGCGCGACAGGTGTTTTATTCTGAAAAATAACCGTATTCTTTCCCGATTAAAACGTCTCTGTGACGTTTACTTTTACCTGTGCTTGTCGCTCGCAAGGTATGAAATACAACCGACGTTATATAAATCACACTGTGCTGTCAGTCTGTTGCTTGGTGACAAAAACAAACAAACTTTGAAACAACTAAAGGTCAGATGTACTGTACTTAGATGTAAAGAAATATTATTTACATGTTATCTACTGTATAAATATTTGTGCAGCACCATTTTTTCTTGCAACGTAAACAAACATTCTTATCTTCTATGCAGATGATGAGGTTATTTATTTTGTTGTCCTTTTCATACTGCATACGCCACCTACGTGCCGCACATAATAGAACTTGGAATCAAATTGTCTTGCGTTCCAATAGAGTGAGCTCAAGTAACACCAGTGATCTGTGTGCCATAGTTTGAGAAGCAATTATTATCAAAAATCAAGCTCAGGTGGTGCAAATTTTTATAGGACACATGGACAAATTTTGGCTTTTGTCAGAATTTATCAGAGTCAAGGAATTCTTTAAAAGTGCGATAGTATCTTATCGTTTTTTACATTGACTTTATTTTACTAGATTTTTACTTGTTAAATTCAAAACACGATCTCTATCACTTGGTCTTTATTATAAAAAAATATCTGTATCGTGAGTTGTTTTTCCGTGGGATTCCAAAGAAAACCATTAACACATTCTGTGTTTACTTTAACTGTCCTAACAGACACCAGCGGCTGCCAACCAGCTGGTGTTGGAGAACATGGTTTACACACAGGTGCTGTGTGAACGTTAACGCCTCATTTAGAGAAAAAAAAAAAAAAACAACAACAAAAAAAGAGAGAAATATGTTGAAACACAAATAGACCATTAACTGTTAACTCCACCACCGACGACAACAGATTGAATCTTCTGCTACATTTGTCATTGCTATGATATGAAACGGAGCCAGATGAGCAATTTGGCGTACTGTACTGTACGCCTCGGGAGGTTTTTTTCTTTTTTCTTTTTTTTTCCTGCACAGGCAGGAGAGCCTTCTGCATGTCTGAGGTTGCTATAAATAGCTTTATTTTCCCAGTGTCCCTTGAGAGCACGGGAGGGAATGGATGGATGGATTGATTGAGGGGCGACGAGAGGCAGCGACGGAAAGGTGCTAATATCGCTGTCAATCAACAGCTAATGCAACGGCACCTGAGAGTTGGAGAGAGGGAAAATCTAACGAAAAAACAAAACAAAACACACACACAGATGATGATGCAGTAATAGAAAAAAATGGCCACACTGGACCGGTTAATATGTTTATTGTTTTTATTCAAACGTGATCCTGACACTGCTTATGTTGATGATGCAAAAATTAATGCTGTAAAAAAAAAAAAAAATATTCCCACCAACCACACTCTATAGAACAGCGAGGATATGAATCCTTTTTTCTCCTTAATTGTTTAAATACTTATTCACCGACGTGTGGTAATTAGCCTGGTCGTGCGAGGGGTTCCTTTTTGTCCTTTAAAAAGACTTGATGTCTTAATGCTTGAGTAAGTCTAATGAACACTGCAGTCGCTGTCTGTCAACCAGGGCCGTAATTATATTCGCCTGTCACTTCCTGACACCGTCTGTAGCCAGGCAACCCGCCGAGGAGACAGGGCTAAAGTTGGATTTTCTTTGAATATTCTTCAGAAAATTAAAAAAAAAAAAAAACAACTTTAGACGGAGAGAATAAATAATGCGAGGCTCAGGTTGGTTGGTTTTTATCTCGTGGATTCACTCCTGTGGGAAACTTTTGAAGGCGGTGTGCTGCTGATCAGGAGGTGGGCAGACTGTATAATTACTGTGTGTGTGCTGGTAATAAAAGCAAAACATATGTTTTGGTCACTCCGCCCACTGAACTCCCACCAGTCTTATATAAATGGAACTTTTCTCTTCATGTCCTGTAATTGCCTTTGAAGGTGCTAAGAGATGGCACGTAGCTGCTGTTCTCAGGTCCAGCCCTGTTAGAACTTTCTAAGAGAATACGTGGCACGGAGTATTTCCCCTCAGAGTACGTGTTTACAAGCAGTTTAATGAGGTAGAAGATACTCATTTTTTAAAAATTGGGGCTGTCAAATGGTTAGACGTTTAAATCTGATTATTCACAAGGTAGCTGTGGATTAATCACGATTAATCGCGGCTCTAACACATCGTCCATACCCAGGTTGTTATTTACTCACATTGTGGGGAGAAAAAAAACCCAAAACTTTAACTTCATCCGAGCACCTAAACCAGCATCTCAACTTCAACTTCAGGTCATGATTAATCGCGATTAATTGAACGGACAGTGAAGTCAGTTAGCAAGTTAGAACACTAAAATAATGCAGTTAATTTAACCGATTAATGAAAGCGATTAACATGTTAATTTTCACAGACGTATCAAGAACCTAGAATTTAAAAGTTGAGCTTAACTCTCACAATAGAAGACCCGTATCAAACTCAAGGCCCGTGGACCATATCAGGCCCATCACGTCATGTATTGTGGTCCACTAGAGTTTTAAGGTTTGTATTAATGTGTACTGCACAGGTCAAATACAATGAGAAAATACTGTGTACGTAACAAATGCATGGCAGGTAACTCACAAACTAACTTTCTACTCCGTGGTCTTCCACCTGTTCCGGTCTTGGAACGTAACCCCCGCGATAGACATGGGACCGCTAAACTACGTTTCGCTACTCGCGTATCCTTGCTCAAATACACAGTCGATACACACGTTATTTGTGTACAGTTTGAGGTAATTGTCGCATACTTTTCTGCATGACTAAAGAGAGGGTTTAAATAAATGTGAGTTGTTTTTTTTTTACTTTTAAACTAAACTTGGACTAAAGATCCGACCACTGGGCCGAGTTCTCCGTCTCTGATTTTATGAAGGTCAACGGCCTGTGATGTCACTGTTGTGTTGTGTTTAACTTTTTCTTCTCTCAGTCCCATAATCAGGATCCGATCACAGTTTAATCTGCGACTCTGTAGTATTTTTTTTTTTTTCACGGGGCATCTGGGACCGCGGTTCGTGCTTCAACGCACTCTCAACATAAACACAGGGGGACATGGGGAGACAGATGGGAAGTTCAGAGGGGGCCGTATGTTACCTTGACACTCAGCATGTTTTCAAGGAGCACCCTGGGTGTCGTGGACGTACGAGTCATTTTTCAATACGAGACACTTACGCAGCACAGCCGAGGAATGTTTCCTCTTTCAGCGTTTTATTTGACCGCGCGTGAAGCACAGGGGAGGAAACCAGAGGGCAGCGTTCTAACGCTGAGGAAGGAGAACGGGGTTGTTTGGGTTTTTGTTTATTTACCGCAACTAAAATGGATTCCGACAGTTTTGCTCAGTGGGAAGAGAGTGACGTCAGGGAGGTCACGTTTACTGGAAGATGAAGGGACTTTTTATATTTAACAGAAGAAGTGAAGTGAAGAGGTGTCAAACTCGATCACGACAGGGGTGGAATTTAAAACCCAGTTCCGAACAGAACCAACATTTCTAGAACAATCTAGAACTGATGAAGCTTTAACCAGGAATGAGGAATTTGAACAGACTGCGGCAGAATTATTTCTCATTAAAAATATCATCAAAACATTAACATCAAGCAAAATACAACTATTGTAGGATGTGTCTTAAAATAAAATGTGGTTTATGCTAATTTTATATTAGTTTTTTTTATTATTTTTATATTATCAGTTTATGATGCACATATCATGCACAAAGCAAACTCAATGTGCTTCACAATGGTCCAAAAAACAATGGTATTTGTTCCAAAATAAGTTAGTAATACTCACTAAATCGTTCACCGGAGATGTTATTAATCCTGGATTTAATTTCTCAGTTAATTCAATCTGGGTTGAACTTTCACTTGCTGTTAACCAGAAGGTTAATGTAACGACAGTCACGGGAGAAGGGGGGGAGAAAAACGTTTTTTAAATTTCCAGCCTCTTTGTCTGACGGGGCTGCACCCTCCCAGCAGAGGAGACAGGGTGGCAGATAAATGTCTTGTTGTGACCACCCACTGTGGGGCTGGTGATGATAATAATTATCAGGAATGACAAGCACGTTGGCTCCAGAGGTAATGTCAGTGACGATTATTGGTCCTTCATGCGGAAGTTTTAATAAAGCAAAGACCTTTAACGAGGCTCTGCAGTTGTAGTTTATACAATTCCATGGAAGAGTCCAACATCAGCCTAGTGTTCAACTAAACAGGCACAGGTTTCACAAGTGTGAGTAAATTGAAACAAGTACATCATAATATTTTAATATGTGCCGTGGCCCAAAATGGTTGGGACACACTGATCAGTGGGTTTCAAAGTGGGGGCCGCAGTCCCATGGGCCGCTGCTAGGGGGCTCAGGAAATTTTGAGGAAGAAAAAAAATGCAAATTTTCTTGTTTTGTAAATAAGCATTTTATACATAAATACATAAATCGCGATTTTGGTTTTCTTCTCAAGTTTCCGATGGTACCTGAACGCACCTAGTCTTACAGCTGCCATTCTTGCCATAATCTATGTAGACCTGGTATTTTGCACCTATTGTAACGCTGCTCGTACTCTCAAGCTAGCGTGTAGCTAGCTAGCTAGTGGAAATGGACACGTTTTTGACAGGAAATAGAAGGAGCAGATTAGCGCTGTATTATTTTATATTATTTATATTCAGTGGGTATATATTATTTTCTCATGCTAATAAAATGCATAGTGAATCAAAGTAAAAACAAATTGATTGAGTTGATGTTTCTTCACATATTTGGTAGCATTGTGTGCGCGTTTGCAAATGGAATCTTTGGCCAAAAGCTAATGCTGTTTTTGGGGTCCCTGGCAGCCAGTGGCCTGGTTGTTCTAGTGGGTAATAGAAGGATCCGGACCTTGGCAGGAAGTGTGCTGTGTTGAGTGGGCTCCTCAAACTCTATTACTCTCTGGGCACATTAAAAAGTGCAGCCCACACTGTGGTGTTTCAGAGGTGGGCTGAATACCGCATATATCTTATAGATTATTACAGTACTGGGGGGGGAATGTGTATTTTTCTGAGTTTACACACCTGTCTCTGCAGTGCATTTATCCCTGAGTACAGCCCAAATGTAAACATGCTAGTTCACTCTGGCGGAGAGATAACGCTGCCCTGTCTGTCATACGATGCTACAATCGGTTTACAGAAGATTAGCGCACATTCGACGCTCATTTTAGGTTTTAACGCAGAAAATTATCTCGCTCCATGTCAAGTTTCATATATATAAATATGTTTATATACTTAGAATCTTCTAGAATACAATCACATGACGGTAGAGAAGATCTTCTGGAAGGTTCGGCCAAAACCCTGACAACAGGAAGCTGCGTACAGTGTATCTCCTTTCCCCGGGTCTGAATAGTGTAATCAGCGGTGGTGTAATTATCCCGGTTTGATTTTATTAACATCTCCTCTGTGAATGCACCACACGCTGCTTGACGTAATTAGAATCGGCGTGATATGGGTCAGACCGAGCAGCGGTGCCACCGGGTCCTCCGGTTCTCTCTCCCGCTCCCCCTAACGCTCCGAAGTGTGTGACGGACGGAGCCAATGGATAGAACGGATTATTCAAATCAGTGGGTTGACTGTGACGTCATAGGGTGTGTATTTGAGTGGGTGTCGGAGCAGCTGTGATGTCAAAGCCTAGAAGTTTGTTTGGACACTGAATTTAAAAAACAAAGTTTGATGGATTTTTTTTTTAAATGACTTCACCCAGATGTTCGTCTTTACCGCGCTGTGGAAATCTATCTTTGTCCGACAGCACCATCTAGCGTCCGCATGACTAACGTACCCTAAAATATGTATATTTCAGATTTACAAAAATGTCATGTACGCGTCGTGTTTCGAAGTGGTTTATGAATGTATAATGGAAATAAAACAATATTTATATTCAGGTTTTTTTATTCAAAGCAGGTGAAGCAGTGTACAACTGGAAAACAAAGAACAGGAAAACGGAAGACGATACAGCTAGGACAAAAAAAATTAAACAAAATAAAATTAAGAATAAATTACAGTAACAGACCATGTCAAACTGTCATTTTCGTGTAAATAACGTGATTTTCTGTGACATAATCCATGAGTATGAAGAGCTAAAACACATGAAACCACTGATTAAGCAAAACAAAAACACACAGTGAATTTTAATTTGTCATGTGTGTGTTCTTTACTGGCAAAAATCTTGGTTTAACACACGTTTATATACAATATATGGCTGGAATTTGTTTGGTTTTTTTTAAATCATATTTACACCATATTTATGTTTTTAAAAATATTCACATTGTAATACAAAAGCCCAAGAAAAACAAAAACCAAAAACACACCCTGTCTTCTTACATCCAAGTAACTGTAAAAAACCAGAACCACATCAACTGACTGACAAGTTCGTCCCAGAATCACCACATGAACCTCTGCGTGGCCGTGCTGTCCGGCCAGTGGAAAGTCTTGGTGATGAAGATGTAAACGGTGGCTGCGTTCACGGCGCTGTAGAAGAGGAACTCCACCACGAGTCTGTGGAGTGAAGGGAGCGGCATGTGCAGCCGGTACATCAGGTAAGGAACGATAAAGTACCGGAACTCCAGCAGCTTCTGGGGCACCGTGGCGGCCAGGAGACAGGCCCAGAAGGCCAGAGTCCAGAAGAGTGACCGCGGCTTGAAAGAGTCCAGAAAGTTCCACCCGCAGAAAACGTATATCGGGATGACGAGGAATCGAATCAGCTCGTGCCTCCGGTAGAACTTTTTCCACACGTAGAAGTTGAAGTGACGGTTGTCTGCCAGCAGGTACTTATGCACGTAAGTGAATTTCCAAATGAGCAGCACAGAGACAACGGTGACCAGGAGGAAGAGCACCGGCTGCCGTTTCATAGCCTGCAGGAAGCGGAGGACGCGGTGGTAACAGAGTGCGACGGGGGCGGAGAAGAAGAAGGCAAAGCAGAAAAAGTAGAAGAGTTGAGGGAAGTTGAGGCAGGCCTCGTGGTTCGTCCTGTCGCCAACCACAATCCCACCGTTCAGCAGCACAAACAGCAGGAAACCAACGGCGACCACCGCGTAAGGCCACGCCACCAGCAGCACCGCCTTCACGTGACCAGGTGATGTCAGGAACTCCAGCACGCAGAGCGTCACTTTCTTCACGCCGCTGAACGACAGAGGCACCTGGGAGGGCAGAGACTTCTCATCCCTCTTTTTCGTGTGCTCCACCCTCCAGGCGTCGTCCATTTTGGCCGCCACCAGCGTGCCTGCGCAGAAGGCCACCCAGATGATGTTGGTCTGACGGAAAAACACGGAGCAGACACCCAGGAAAGCCGAGGCTTTGTGGCAGCCGTGGAGCGTCATGAGATACGTGAAGAGAATGAAGAAAGTGGATCCAGCGTCAGTGTAGTAGAGGAAGTTAAAGAAATACAGCACCGGGAACGAGGACAGAGACAGAGCTGACAGGATCCGGCGTGAGGCTGATCGTGTCTGGTGGAGAAAACAAAAGTAGAATCAGAGATTTTCCTGTTTATTTGAAATGACTGATAAAAGTCCATGGTTTGTTCTCACCTTCTCTCTGAGGTGAAGCTTACAGATGAGCAGATACAGCAGGTAAAGGTTTCCACAGTTGAAGAGCAGGTTGACGAAGCGCAGCATGGCCGTGGAACACACCACCTCACCTGTGAGGTTGGCCAGCCACACCACAGGCTTGATGACTCCCACAGAGATGAGGTACAGACCTGGGAGTGTGGTGATCATGGGGTCCCACTGCAACAGGAGCAAAATATTTTACACAGGTTAATAAAATTCACCTTATTAATTTAATTTTTTTTAACTTATTTTTAAAAACAATCTGCATAGTGTGGCTCAAACTGAAAAATAACATCTACAAAGCTGTTTCAACAATTCTAGTCACAGTCAACAAAATGAAATGATGAGTACGTTAGATATTTATTATTATTATGTATTTGTATTTGATGAAATTTTATTTCATTATCATTTTAAAGGAAACATACCAAACATAAAGCGTTTGTGTATTTTATTTTATTTTCAAAATCCATCAAGCTGGCCGAATTGAACATGCTATTGGGCCCGTTTTGGCCCACGGGCCGTATGTTTAAAAGCCGTGTTTTAAACCTTTGTTGTTGATGCATCCATTACTACACTTTCATGTGGAAACGGCATTTAAACAGATTATAGTGGGGTTTATACCTAGTTAAACCCACAATACAGCTAACATCGCCAGCTGCGATCATGTGAAAAAGACTAAATCCCCTGACAATGGATGTTAAGCTAACCTTAATCCTCTACTCTACAATGACGGAACCTATTTTTCTTCCTGCGCGAAGACATTTTACCTCGTTAAATTTTCCATTGCAGTATTTTTGGGCTTGCGGCACATGGAAAATCTCGTCCATGTACGGTTCCCTCTGCTCCCGAGTGACTCTGGAGAAAATCAGACACGAAACCAAGAAGTTGATGCTGCACAGAGCTGCGAAGATGTAGCCTTCGAATTTCTCCATCTCTGTCGGTTGGAGTCGACACAGACGGAAATACTTATCCAAAGCTCAGCGTTTTAATGTTGTTTATACTGCATCGCGACAAACATTAGAGTAAAATTCCTGCATATACTATATATACTACTACTACTGCATATATAAGTCAGAGTAAAATTCCTGCATATACTACTACTACTGCATATATAAGTTCGCAGGTTGTACCCTCTGGTGTGTTCTATTGTGAAGCGGAAGAGTCTAGATTTTTTGACAGCTGGATGGTGCGTTTGTGAAAACCGTCCGGAGCGAAACGACGTTTTGAGTATATTTCCTACTAAATATTAAACTGCTAACCTACTGTGTGCAAGTGCTACGTAAATCATCACTGTCACTATTTACATCTACTGAAATATTAATAACAATGTAAATAATAAAATTGTCGGTTTAGTCTTGAATTCTGTGTTTTCTCGCTAGAGCCGGGTAACTTCCGGTGTCACTGTGTTATGATTCCTACGCAGCGCAAACCCCACGTGAAGACCAGCAATATCTTTCTGCCTTAGTATTTATTATATTTTTCTTTCGAGATTTAAACAATGCATTTAACGCAAGAGTTGGAGCTTTTTCCTGACGTCAGAGTGACTCAGCTACTTTTTAAAGAAGTGAAAAATGCTGCAGAACTGAGACAAAGTGCCGTGGACGGGAAAATCAATGGAGCTTTGATCAACCCCACAATGGTATGACATTTAACTTGTTTTTAATTAACGAAATTTCAATTTATTAACGACAGGACGAATTGCTTTGTAATGCATATTTATTATAGCGAACATGACACTCGTGTTTCCGTTTACAGCTCGTAGATCCTTTCCAAGTCCTGGTCGCTGCCAATAAAGCGGTTTGTTTCCAGAAAAATGGAAAAATGAAGACGAGAGCTCTCTCCTCTGAGATTATCTTTAACCTTTCGCCCACTAATAAGGTAAGTACATGAATGAGAGTCAGTAGAGAGTCATTCCTGGGGAATAATGCAGCGTATTAATCTATGCTAATGCGCCACAATATGTTCTGTTTTATCAATGGGAACTATTTAAATGTAAAATTTATTTTAGTTTCTTTCCGTTCCTTTTTCATGGTACAGATCTCAGATGCCTTCAAGAGGTTTGGGATCTCAGACGGTGACGACTGCGTCATGGTTGTCGTGGTTCAAGACAAAAGTGAGACGCCGTGTTTTGACGACATCGTATCCAAAGTGGACGGATGTCAGATTCCTGTGAAGGACATTTCCCTGCTGTCAGATCATATGAAAATCAAAAAGGTAAAATATCTTTATCTTAATCTAGATTAACTAGACTAGGTTAGCATATCATTTTATTATTAATTACCACCACAGTTAAACCTTTGGTGCTGACCTTTTATTTATTTGTCTTCATTTCAGTTGTATAAAGTCACTCCCCAGGAGGAGAAGTGTGGGACTCTTCTGGATGCAGTTGTGTCCAGAATGGCCACCAAAGACGTCTTGTAGTGAAACTGAACCAGGATCTGTGTTTCTTACTGAATAATGGTGTTTGCAGTTTTCCTTTATTCTATAATAATATTCTGTGCTCTATCTTTAGTACTATTTCCTAATATTCCACTAATTTGTACCGCACTCAATCCAAAACTGTATCTATTTTACAAAACAATCTGTTTCATTACACCACTTCATTAAATTACATTATTTTTCTTAAGTCTGTCCTAGAACTTATTTGCATTTCTGCTTCTTTTTTTTTTAGCTCTTTTATCTAACGAGACACTAACACAGAACCGAGAGTTTGGAGGTAGTTTTTATTGCTTCTTAGTCCTTTCAAAATGCAATGTTGACGGTGAATGAAATTTATTGATTGATTTTATAATCAATATTATTATAATAATGGCAGGTAAAAAGAGATAAATAAGGAAATATAAAACCTTTGAGGCTAAATATGGACTCAGTCTCTGAGAACTATTTCCCACGTTCACTGTTGACATTTGAACGTCCTTACAATAGTAAACCTTTAAGTACAGACTAGGAAAGTTGACCTTCAGATGTTCATCAGTCTGGGATGTTGGCGAGCTCGTCCTTCCCGATGTTTCCTCCGCTGAGAATGCACACATCGGTCTTTCCCTCCATTTCTTGAATCTTCTCGTTAACGATGGCAGCGAAGGCAGCAGCGCCTGAAGGCTCCACTACCAGCCCTGACCTGTAGAGGGCAGACACTGCTGCCTTGATCTCCTCATCACTCACCAGGACGATGCCTTCCACGTATCGCTGGCACAACTCGAAGGGCAGCCGGCCTGGAAATAAAGTACAATATTTAATGAAACTTTGAGAAATTTGTCAGTGAAACTTTTACTCTTCGCTCAAACACATCCACGTCTTGACCTGCTGTAAATGTTAATGTTGTCATTGTGGTATTTACATTCTAGGTTTACAACAGTAACTAATTATTATTATTATTATTGTTATGGGGCAATGGGGAGAAACATTTTTTCCAGTACCTGCGAATGGTGGTGCAAGGCCCGAGGCCACGCTCCTGGTCTCCATGCCCACTGGGGTCTTCTCGATGAAGCTCTTGTACATGGTGCAAGCTGCATTTTCAAAGAAAAAGACAAATCTTACAGCAACAAATCCACAGACTGGGAATTTGTCAATTTAAAAAAAACAACAAAGTAGCTGTAGGTGAATTCTCACCTCCTTCTGGTTCCACACCGTAGATCCTGGTCTGGTCGCAGCCTGACAGTTTAATGGCTGCAGCTACACCAGCCAGCAGCCCCCCTCCACCACAGCAAACCACAACAACATCTGGGTTAGGGGTCACTTCCAGCACCTCAAAACCAAGACTGGACACACAGGTTTATAATTACACAAATAATGGGTCAATGTTGAGGTTTAATGACGACAAAAAAAAAAAAATTCTGTACCTGGCATGTCCTGCGATCAGGTCCAGGTCATCGTACGAGTGCAAGAATGTCATGTTGTTGTCCTGAACACATCGGTTGACAACATTCATCAGATTGGCCGTCGGAACTCGCTCGACCTCCACTTCAAAACTCTGAGATCAAGAACAACTCTCTTAGATTAATATATAAAAACACAAAATGTAATAATTTTAATTAATATTTACACTTTACACAAAAATGCTACTTTATATCACAGTTGCAGTTGATTAAGTACTACATCGTTGTGATTTGTATTTTTTTTTGCAGTCTCAGCTGTGTCTATTTTATGTCCGTATTTCAGCCCAAATACTGTTGACCTCTGACCTGTATGAGGATGGATCTGGACAGTGGAGCGGTTTCAGGCATCACCACTTTGCCCTTTGACCCATAGTGTTTTGATGCATATGCAAAAGACTTCCCGTAATTTCCTGCAGACATGGTGACAAAGTGACCGCCCGCGGGTCTCCTGGCGAACTGATTAGCAACTCCTCGGATCTTAAACGACCCTGTTTAACACACACACACACACACACACGTCTGTTATGGCCACGCAGAACCATAAAAAATATTCCTGTGCGACCCTGTGACGCTGGAGTGAACAGAGTTCCCACCAGTTGTCTGCATGTTTTCCAGCTTGATGTGGATGTTGCAGTTGATGTTGAGCGGTAGGCTGGTCTGACACCAGGGGATCATGGGAGTTTTGATGACACCTAGTGGGCTGCTCATCACTGTCTCTCTGGCTTCTCTCAGCAGATCCAGGGTGACGGCGTCTGCAGACACTTCAGCCATCTATTAAAAAAAAAGAAAAAAGAATCCAGATAAAACTCTTCTTTACGGATAGGAAAAATAAATAAATAAATAAATGTTTCTGGTGCGCGCGTGAAAGTTTCATATTTTCTTGTCCCCCATGTCCCTTCAGGGGCTCCATAGAAAACTGTACATAGCACTACTGTAGATAATTATAGCTGAGCTTCAGCTAAGACGAACGTACGAGTGCACTATTTATTTTAGAAAATACAGAACACGTTTTATTACAATTTAAAACAAATAAAATATTTTTCAACTAACCTTGTGGAACTATTGGACGTTTCGTTCACGCAAAGACCAGATCACAACTCTGCCGTGTTGACAACGGCGTTACACGACTTGTCCCTCCCGTTCGGATTTTTGGTTCCGTTTTGCCGCCGTGTTTCCAGAGGGACGCTTTTATGAAACGGACAGTAAACATGGCGGCGCTGGTGTCATCTGGACATGGCACAGTATTAACTTTTACCTCTGCACACGTGTGAACGTGGACATTTTAACTACTTTTAGTATGGGTATTGCGAGGCACGTGGTGTGCGCCGTGTCCGGCGGCGTGGACAGTTCTGTCGCTGCGCTGTTATTGAAAAGAAGAGGTGAGAAACACGGACACACGCGCACTGTCAAACTTTCACCACCAGGGGCGAATTATTTAGAACAAGACAAAAGAGAAATAGAAATTTAAATTATAATTTATGAAAGTCGACACACGACATGTTTTAATATATTTGAACAAACTCTGTCTTTTCCTATTTTAACGTGTATTAACTTGAATATTGCAAAGAAGTGAAAAGAGTAGACAGATTAACTTAAGGTAATTGCATGAATATATGCAAACAAATATATACAAAAAATTATACATTTTAATAATACTATACAAAATATTGTGTAATTATGCTGCCTCTCAGAAAAAGAGGCGGGAGAGTCTGACTCCTGGTTCCCTGTGAAAACTATTTCTTGTGGTGCACTGCAGTGTCCCCTGGTGGTGACTGAAGACACTCCACCCTAAAAAGTAAAACTACATTCTGTTGTAGGTTAACAAAGACATTTCCTACTTTTTTTTTTCCTACAGGTTTTAAGGTAACAGGGGTTTTTATGAAGAACTGGGACTCACTGGACGAACAAGGGGTCTGCACTACAGACAAGGACTGTGAGGACGCATATAAAGTGTGTAAAACTCTGGATATTCCCTTTCATCAAGTATCTTATGTCAAGGAGTACTGGCATGAAGTTTTCAGGTATTTCAGTCACTTTTAGTTACACTAACTGTCAGACAGATTCATGTTTCCTTCATTCTGTTCCGATTTTTCTCATTTTTGTTTTTATTTGCAGTTACCTGTTGAAGGAGTATGAAAAAGGCAGGACCCCGAACCCTGACATTCTGTGCAACAAACACATCAAGTTCAACCACTTCCACAGATACGCCATCAACACTCTGGGTAAGTTGTTGTCATCATGGTCAAAACAGATAATACTTCAGTAAACTGCGCTCCACATGTGCAGTCATGTGACCACAAGGTTGAAACAGGATGATCCAACTCAGATGTTTTTAATTGCTGCATTTTATTTGAACTCTTTGAACTGTAGTAGCTATAATTATTATCGGTAGACAATTACTAGACATTTCAGGTGACCCCATTTGATTTTCATGTGAACCCATGAGGGGTCCTGACCTTAAGGTTGAAAAACACTGACTTAGAAAAACATGGTAAGTAGCTCTTTAGGATAAAATCTCACTTAAAAAAACATTGTAAGTAGCTCTTTAGGATAAAATCTCAATTAATATGTTTTTTTTTTTTATTATTTTAAATATACTTTAGGTGCAGATGCGATCGCTACAGGCCACTACGCCAGGACGTCGCAGGAAGACGAGGACGTGTTCCAGCAGGCCCCCGCAGCTCCGCCCACCACGCTCTTCAGAAATCGGTTTGAGAGCAGAAATGGTAAATGAATTAAACTGACTTTGAAGCTCGTGGTCGTCCAGGATTCTGATCTGGTTCACGTGTTCTTCCTGGACCAGACGTGAAGTTACTTCAGGGAGCAGACCTCCTCAAGGACCAAACCTTCTTCCTCAGTCAGATCTCCCAGGATGCTTTGCGAAAAACCTTGTTCCCGTTGGCTGGGCTCACGAAGGATTTTGTTAAGAAGATGGCTGCGGAAGCAGGACTTCACCACGTTCTGCAGAGGAAAGAGGTTCTCAGTCTGCAGCCGTCGCGTCTTCTGTCTTATGTTTTCACAGCGACGACAGGTCAAATGGATTTTAACTTGTTTTTGTGTTTTTTCAGAGCATGGGTATTTGCTTCATCGGTGAAAGAAACTTTGAAGATTTTATTTTAGAAGTAAGAAAATCATAATTTAATTTTTAATTTGTCAATTTCCTGAGTCTCTGTCTGTGTTGTTGGTGATAAATCAACACGCTGATATTTTTTTTTACTTTGTTTCCAGTACCAGAACCGAAACCAGGAAACTTTGTCTCCATTGAGGACGAGACAGTGAAGGGAAAACACAAAGGTACTGTTTGTTAGAGAGTTTTTGTATTGATTTGTTTACTCTGGTTTATTCCTTGTGTGTGACAGAGTAAGATAAAATTGGAACGTTTTATGTCATTTGTGATCCAGTTGCCGGCCAAATTGGATGGTTCAGTGGGCCGTGTTTGGCCTGCGAGCCGCGGGTTGATAATCAGTGTGTTAAAGTGTAGAGAGAACAAAAGAGAAAAAAAAAACATACAGAGTTCTTCACTTCCTGCTGGCGTCACGTCGTCTGTCGTGTCTCCGCAGGTTGGTTCACCATGACTCTGGGTCAGCGGGCCAGGATTGGTGGACAGAAGGACGCCTGGTTTGTGGTGGACAAAGACGTGTCCACAGGAGACGTGTTTGTGGTGAGAAGATCTCGCCGTGATGTCATCGTTATTTTTACAGATTCTTTTTTTTTTGGCTTGCTTATTTTCACCTTCTCTTCCAGGCTCCAAGAACCAACCACCCCGCTCTGTTCCGTGACACGCTGAGGACGGACCGCTTCCATTGGTTGACAGTGGACCCGCCTCCTGAACTCGCCAGGACCCAGATGATGAATTGTCATTTTCGCTTCATGCATAGAATGCCACTGGGTACGAGATTGAGTTATTATGGAAGGGTGGCCAACCACTGGGTCGTGGACCTGTAGCAGACCGTGGGTCATTTGGTACAGGACCGTACAGAAAGAATAAAAGTTTTTTGTTAATGTTAATCAGGATGTTACTTTATTTTGTAAAACGATGTGATTTTGTTCTTTGACGTTTTAAATAGTACTTTAAAACGGTGACTTACTTTGGTTCTTGTACTTCCCAGTTCCCTGCACGGTGACTCTGAACCTGGACGGCTCAGTGTGGATCTCACTGTCGCAGACGGTCAGAGCTCTGACACCTGGACAGGTGAGAAGAAGAACCAACGTTACATACTCTTTCTTTCTCTGTTGGACTAAAATAGGTCATGACCTTTGACTCTTTGACCTCTCCTTCAGTTCGCCGTGCTCTACAGAGGTGACGAATGTCTGGGCAGCGGGAAGATCATTCAGCTGGGGCCCAGCGAGTACACAGTCCAGCGGGGACGAGAGCGGCTAACGGCGGCAGCGCAGCAGAACCAGAAACCGACCACAGAACCGACCGGCTGAGGATGACATCACAGCGCCGCCCCCGGTGGGTTTGCAGTCTGTCGTCTGCGTATGTTAGGTCGAGCAACACCATCAGTGGGACAGAGGAGTCGCTCTGACCCGTGTGGGCCACATTTGGGTTGGTGTTCATGTTTTCAGACGTGTCTATGACATGACTTCTGGGCCTTGTCGTTCTGTTGGGTTTTACTCGCTGTTCTGGAAAATAAATTAAATGAATGGAGGAGTTTTAAACATGGAAAAAAAACAAGATCTGAATCAGGAAATCCTGAATCTGCATTTTTAGCTCATTCCAGATATTTTATGTTTTCTTCTTTGAAACATATAATTCGTTCCATAAATTTTAGACCAGACAGAAAAACACTGTCACATAATTTCACCGGTGTTTTTGTGATTCTGCTCGGCAACAATTAAGAATTTCTTCATCCTATGAACCAGTGTTTACAAATTTTTGTTTTGGTTCCATAAATTTTAGATCAGACAGAAAAACACTGTCAAATAATTTCACCGGTGATTTCGTGATTCTGCTCAGCAACAGTTAAGAATTTCTTCTTCCTATGAACCAGTGTTTACAAATTTTTTTAAACCACGGTTCATATTCTATGTAAAAAACCAACAGTTCACCATCAAACATTTGTGTCACAAAAGAAGTCGATGTGATGAGATATAATCATATAATGAGTTGATTTACTCTAGCGTTAAACCTGGGCCTATTTAGTTGAACACAACACTGATATTGAAGAAAAACACGAAGATCTTCAACAGCGCTGTCTGTCTGCCATCTGCTGCCACCTAGTGGAAGTGAAATTGAGTAATTCTCCACAGTATCTCACAGGGTCTTTTACAGACCAAGGCCCCCTACTGGTGCAAAAGTATGATGTTATTTTGCGTTTAGTACCTGTATTGAAATATTATGAAGGTTCATATATTTATATAAAATATAGACAAAACTGTCTCATCAATCAAAACTCCATGACCCTTCCCTGGCCCATTTGGGGGGTCTGCAACCCTCTGGTTGAAGACCATTGGCTTGATTGAACCTTGTGTTCTCATCAATCAAAACCCCATGACCCTTCTCCAGTCCCTTTGGGGGTCTGCAACCCTCTGGTTGACGACCATTGGCTTGATTGAACCTTGTGTTCATCAGAACTGCTTCTTCTCCAGGATAAAACCTTCAGGTTTCATGAAATACCTCAACTTTTCTTCGTGTGTTTAACTAAACTAATCTACAGGATGTTAAATCCTACATGATGTTTGATGAAAGTCGTGAAGAAAAGATCATGTTTGTCATTTCTCAAAGTTGTCTTTGAAGTAAAAAATAACAAACACTTTATGTTGAGTTTAATGTGCCGGAGTCTGTGTCGGAAGTCATTGGAGCTGGTGAACATATGACCACACGAGGGCGCTCTCCTACAGGTTTTAACCTCCAGGATGAACCTGTTGCTGTTCAGTCAGTGTTGTAACAGTGAAGTTGACTTTTAATGACAGGTTTTATACAACTTTACTGTTTTGTTTTGTTTTTTATAGCAGAGTTCGTTTATTTTTTCCTGCCTGGGATTTTATCCTCGCTTTTCAAAAATTCTGGAGTTTCATATTTTGGACTGATTTCTATGTCTGTCCCAGCATTTAGGAGAATTTATCGTAGCCTTAAAAAAAAAACAACTTCGTTTGCCAAAAAAGAGAGAGCAAAATAACAAATATAAATCGGTCGTGAGAACCAGCTTCTTTTGCAAATGACTAAAACCATCAGTTATTTATTACTATTTCAAGCTCCAAATCTTTCCATAGAAACTTGACAAATAATAAAAATGATTAACTTTTTCAACAATATAAAACAATAAAAATCGATGACAGATTAGTTTTAGGAAAAATGGTCCAAACATTTGGAACAGTGAAAAAATAGTCAATGACGTAAACAAAATAAAGGAGTTATATTTTGTTTTACACTTTTTAAATACATTTTTATATATTGCAAATGTACATATATTTATATTTATGATAGAAGTACATACAAAGAAATATTTGTGATTATATTTTAAACATCATGTACATATATTTATGATAGGAGAAGTACATATAATGAAATATTTGTGATTATATTTTAAACATCCCAGTATTTAGTGCTGAGACTAAAATAATTAAATTATGTTTTATGTTTGTTTTAGGAGAGTTCTTCACGTTAATCCAGTTTTTAAATCGTGGATTTTTACTTTATTTATTAAATGTTTTTCATTAAATGTTTTTCAGGACAGGGCGACACTGTACCTGATGTTTAAAAGTTTCTCAACTCTGTCTCCCATTGTAATAACAATGCACTTGTGCGCACTGGGCCACTTCCTAAATCTCCATGAGAAAAAGAATAAAGAAGACCTCCTCACCCTCGCACACCCCCGGCCCTCCCGTGAAAGCGTCCCGAGAGGGGGGGGGGCACAGCAGGTTTATGGTAATAAGGCTCCGAGGAGGAGGAAAAAAGGAGGAGGAGGAGGAGGTGAAGGAGGAGGAGATCCACGGAGCCATTTTGTACTCATTTTAAACGCAGAGTGCTTTAACGCAGCCGCTGCGCGTCTTGGACACAGTGAGACTATGGAGACACGGAGACTTTTTCCACGCTGAAACTTCACCATGAGGGAGAGAAGCGGGACGCGGTGCTGGCAGAGGGAGAGTTAATGCTGCCGTGGACGAGTTTCGCAGAAGTTGAGTGGAATTTTGGAACCCTTTTGGAGAGCATGGAGCTCCCGATGTGTTGGATCTGTGTGTGTCTCCTCAGCCTGCCGCTTGTTGGATGTTTGGAGATGCACCTCTGGGAGGCTCTACAGCCCGGCGCCGTGTTGGCCAACCTGTCAATGGGACCCGGCTGGAGGTACACGATCGACAGGACTTTTTATCCTAAATATACGCAAAACCTCCTCCAAATTGGGGAGCGGGACGGGACGATCCGCCTGTCCACAGACGTGGAGTGCGCGCACATAGCCAGGAACCCTGCGCGTGTTCGCTTCCGAGCAGGTTCTTCAACGACCGAGGACGCAGTTCGGACACAGTTTGTTGTGGTTGTCCACGGACGCCACTGTGACGTTAGCAGTAAAAGACTGAGACAGTACAGGAGACGGAACGTTTCGGCTGAGCCTGACATTCGAATTGAACACATTTACAGACTGCAAACAACTTCCTGCCTGCCCGCAGGTAAGCTGCTATCGAATGTGCCAGAACTTTTGCCCGCGCTCACGCGTGGCACCCCTTTCCTGGACACTGTTTGTGCGGGGGACGGTTTGTCTGCGGTGTTCCGACGAGGACGTTTGTCCCTGGCGTCTGACTCGTGTCCTGACAACTGGGACCGACCCAGTGTCCACCTGGACTGTGCGCTGCGGAGCTCCTCCGGCAGCTCGCTCTCCGTGCAGCTGGCTGTGACGCTCGTCAAAGTGGCCGAACTACATGGATCCTTATCACCGAGAGTCCAGAAAAGGTCCGCGGCGTTGAGCCGCAGGGGGAAGCGACAGGCGAACGCGTCTCCACAGTTCCAGCTCCCCAACTATCAGGTGTCCGTGCCCGAGAATGAGCCCGCGGGGACGCGCGTTATCACCCTCAAAGCGACTGACCCGGATGATGGAGAGGCCGGGAGGCTGGAGTACAGCATGGAGGCCCTGTTCGACAGCAGGTCCAATGATTTCTTCTTCATTGACTCCCAGACTGGCAGCATAACAACAGTCCAGCCGTTGGACAGAGAGGTCAAAGACACGCATGTTTTCAAAGTGACCGTGATAGACAACGGCAGTCCAAAAAGATCTGCAAATTCCTACCTGACCGTCACGGTCAGTGACACCAACGACCACAACCCAGTGTTTGAGCAAAACGAATACCGCGTTAGCATCCGCGAGAACGTGGAGGTGGGATTTGAAGTGATGACAATCCGGGCCACGGACGGAGACGCGCCCTCTAACGCCAACATGATTTATAAAATTGTCAACAACGATGGCATTAACTCCGTGTTTGAAATCGACCCCCGCAACGGTCTGGTGAGGATCAGGGAGCGGCCCGACAGAGAGACCAGGGCCCAGTACCAGCTGATCGTTGAGGCCAACGACCAGGGAAAGGACCCGGGCCCCCGCAGTGCCACGGCCACCGTGCACATCACAGTGGAGGATGAGAATGACAACTACCCACAATTCAGTCAAAAGAGGTACGTCGTACAGGTTCCAGAGAACGTGGCGGTCAACGCCAAGGTCATCCAGGTGGAGGCGACGGACAAAGACGAGGGGAACAATGCCAAAGTCCAATACAGCATCATCAGTGGAAACGTTAAAGGTCAGTTTTACATTCACTCTCCCACTGGTGTCATCGACGTCATCAACCCTCTGGACTATGAGATAATTCGGGAATATAACCTGAGAATTAAGGCTCAGGACGGAGGCCGGCCTCCGCTGATCAATAGCACTGGCATGGTGGTGGTGCAGGTGGTGGATGTCAACGACAACGCCCCCATGTTTGTCAGTACGCCCTTCCAAGCAACGGTGCTGGAGAATGTGGCCATCGGTTACTCTGTGATCCACATCCAAGCCATCGACGGCGATTCTGGAGAAAACGCCCGTTTGGAGTACCGCCTGACTGACACCACGCCCGGTTTTCCCTTCACCATCAACAACAGCACGGGGTGGGTCACCGTGAGCGAGGAGCTGGACAGAGAAACCACGGAATTCTACACCTTTGGGGTGGAGGCGAGAGACCACGGGGTACCGGTGATGTCGTCGTCTGCCAGCGTTAGCATCACGGTGCTGGACGTGAACGACAATGTGCCCACGTTCACGGAGAAGGTCTACTCACTTAAAGTTAACGAAGACGCCGTGGTGGGCACCAGTGTGTTGACCATGACGGCCGTGGACAGGGACGTCAACAGCGTGGTTACCTACCAGATCTCCAGCGGTAACACCCGGAACAGATTCGCCATCACTAGCCAAAGCGGCGGCGGTCTCATCACCTTAGCCCTCCCTTTGGACTACAAACAGGAACGCCAGTATGTCCTCACCGTCACCGCCAGTGATGGAACGCGCTACGACACAGCCCAGGTGTTCATCAACGTCACGGACGCCAACACGCACCGGCCCGTTTTCCAAAGTGCCAACTATCAGGTGATGCTCAGCGAAGGAAAACCGGTGGGCACCCAGGTGATGGTGATCAGCGCCACAGATGAGGACACCGGGGAGAACGCTCGCATCACGTACGTGATGGAAGACAACGTTCCTCAGTTCAAGATCGACCCCGACACTGGTGCCATCACCACTCGGATGGAGATTGACTACGAAGACCAGGCCTCCTACACGTTAGCCATTATCGCTAGAGACAACGGCATCCCTCAAAAGTCTGACACCACCTACGTGGAGATTATCGTCTCGGATGCTAACGACAACGCTCCTCAGTTCCTCAGAGACATGTACCAGGGGAGTGTGTTTGAAGACGCACCGGTCTACACCAGTGTCCTCCAGATTTCTGCTTCAGACAGGGACTCGGGGCCAAACGGCAGGTTGAGCTACACGTTTGTAGGCGGCGATGACGGAGAAGGGGATTTCTTCATAGAACCGTACTCTGGCATCATCAGAACTGCCCGCAAACTGGACCGGGAGAACGTCCCCGTGTACAACCTGAAGGCGTTCGCCGTAGATAAAGGAGTTCCTCCGCTGAAAGCGTCGGTTCCCATTCACGTGGTGGTGCAGGACATCAACGACAACGCCCCCGTCTTTGAGAAGGATGAGCTCTTTATCGACGTGAAGGAGAACAGCCCGGTGGGTTCTGTGGTCACCCGCATCACCGCCGTGGACCCCGACGAGGGCACCAACGCTCAGATCATGTATCAGATCGTGGAAGGCAACGTCCCTGAGGTTTTCCAGCTGGACATCTTCAACGGCGACCTCACTGCACTCACAGACCTGGATTATGAAACCAAAACAGAGTACGTCATCGTGGTCCAGGCGACCTCGGCGCCCCTGGTGAGCCGGGCCACGGTTCACATCCGCCTGGTGGACATGAACGACAACGTGCCCGTGCTGCAGAACTTTGAGATTATCTTCAACAACTACGTCACCAACAAGTCCAACAGTTTCCCTTCAGGAATAATAGGAAAAGTACCGGCTCACGACCCGGACGTTACGGATAAGCTACGGTATAAGTTCGAGTCTGGAAACGAGCTGAAGCTGCTGCTGCTGAATGAGGAGACGGGGGATCTGAGGCTGAGCCGAGACCTGGACAACGACAGGCCCCTGGAGGCTCCGATGACCATCTCCGTCTCAGGTAAAGTCACAGTCTTCTTTTTTTTTTCTTCTTCTTCTCTGATTTAACTGAATCGTCTTCTCCATCAGCTGTAACCTGTCGCCACATGCAAACGTCACACAAAACACTTTTAAATGGTTGGTGTCACATGTGTTGCTGAATCACGAGGTGCGATGTAGCGTTTAACTGACGAGTCAGCGTGGAACAGTCACAGGTGACAGGTCTGGGTTGTCCTGTTGACGCTGTTGTGCTGGGCGGCTGTTTGCCTCAGGCCGTGTGTTGGATCCAGTTGTTCTGCTTTTTCACTGTTTGAGTGGTAAATGAATTGTGTGCAGGCTGTTGGTCTGGGTAATAAAATAAAAATAAAAAAACGGCCGTATTAGCAGGGCGCCCTCATCACTGAGAGGCTTTGTTGTTGCAGATATGTGGGTTCCTGCAGGAACTCACACGTGCACGGGGTTTTGGAGGTTGGTGTTGGTGCACGGCAGGGAGGCTGTTGCACATCTTGAGGCAATATGTTAACTATGAAAAATTTTATCAGTTTTCAAATTCATCCATCTGCTGCAGTTTGAAACAGAGGAAATGTTTTAGATGCTGGATCAAAAAAAGGGAAATGGGTTTTGCTGGTCGATGCCCCGAGGGCGTGCACGAGGAATTTGCATTAAGTCCTTGTTTTTCCAACTACAGAGGCAGACTTTGTTCTTTTAAGTTAACGATTAGTCAATGCAAACACTCGGGAATTTCACCTTCAACTGGTGAGGAAGGAGACACACAAATAACACACACACACACACATTCACATCATCAGGGTTTTTTGGAAGCAGGTAACCGACCTGGTCCAATCAGATTCACTGACAGAGTGACTGACATTTGACTTAATGACAGCTGCTTGTTCAGATCTGTCCTTTTTCCTTTGTCTCTTTATCTCTCTCTCTATCTTTTTCATTTTTGAAAAATGTCTTTCTCTGCTTCTTAAATTCTTTTTTTTCAATTGTCCTACTTTTTGTTTTTATTCCTTATCTTTTTTTTTCTTGCTTTCCCACAAAGCTTTTCTTTTTTTTTCAATTTTGTTTCTTTCATGTCACCTGTCTTAACTCTCTGTTCATGAAAGGAAAAAACTCTGATTCCTTTGTCTTTCTTTCTATGGAAAAATGTTGTTTCTTTTTTAATTTTAACTTTTTTGTTTTTCCTTTCTTCCTTTATCCCCTTCTTAATCTAAGAAAACGTTCTCTTCTATATATTTTTTTTGCTTTTTTTCCTTCTTTCTTTCTGCTTTTTCATTCTTTTTTTTCCTTTAAAAATTCTACAATTTCCCTTTTTTTCTGCTTCTTTACATCATAAATTCTTGTTTCTTTCAATCCTTAATTTTTAAATTTTTTTCCCCACTCTGACAGTCATCAGTTCACATCATTAAATCCATTGGTTGAACTTCTACTAAAGGACTCGTGCCTGTCTTTCCAGTCATGAGAAGGTCAAACTGTTCTTCTCTCTTGTAGACCCCAGACCACTCAGACTGAAAATTTTTGTTTCTTTTTTAATTTTAACTTTTTTGTTTTTCCTTTCTTCCTTTATCCCCTTCTTAATCTAAGAAAACGTTCTCTTCTATATATTTTTTTTGCTTTTTTTCCTTCTTTCTTTCTGCTTTTTCATTCTTTTTTTTCCTTTAAAAATTCTACAATTTCCCTTTTTTTCTGCTTCTTTACATCATAAATTCTTGTTTCTTTCAATCCTTAATTTTTAAATTTTTTTCCCCACTCTGACAGTCATCAGTTCACATCATTAAATCCATTGGTTGAACTTCTACTAAAGGACTCGTGCCTGTCTTTCCAGTCATGAGAAGGTCAAACTGTTCTTCTCTCTTGTAGACCCCAGACCACTCAGACTGTCTGAAGAACAGCTGACTGGGCTCACAGTTTCCCTGACAACTGTGACCTCATGGTGGTCCTAAAAAAGAGAGTGGGGGTCGGGGGGTTAAACAGTTTCATTGATTGTAGCATTTTCTCTCTCTGTGAGAGACACACACATACAGTAAATGTAAGCACACGCCATTGACCGACGCACCCAAAAACCTCCGGTGCCTCACAAGTGTCCCTGATGTCAAGTGTTAGGTAACCATTATGGCTCATGTCTTGACCTTTTAACCCCGTGTTGACGGGTGTGGAAGGCCCGGAGGGACTGGTGAACAAACAGCACCCTTTACCAGCACGGGGAGACAAGAGCCCGTCTGTGCGTCCTTCTCTCCTAAATTTGATTACTGCGGCTTCCACCGCGAGAACGCAGTCCACCTAGTGTGTTCGTCTGACCCTTTTCACCGTCTGATGAAGAGGGTGAGGAAGAGGGTGAGGGTTAGCACTTGAAGCCTTCACACCAAACTGGGACAGAGTATAATTTATACTCGGTCTATCATTTAGGTCATTTTGTTTTGTTTGTTTGGTTTTAAATACGTGAGACTAGTGTTCTCAATATGTGGCCCGGGGACCTCTTTATGACCTCCGGGTTCACTGCATGCGTTTCCCCCTTTGTCAGCAGGGGTTGTCTCCAGTGTCCCCCAGTGACCTTTTGACATGATGAAGTATTGATTGAATTTATTGACAGTGTTGGATCAGTTCAACACAGTGACAGCTTTTAACTGTCTGAACTGGAAATGAGAAAAAAAAACAGCAAAAAAACATCAAAAACTTTTATTTGAAGAGAAATGACTACGAAGATAAATGTAAAATTCCTTTGATTGAAATGATTACACTAAGAGACGCTGTCAGAGTCAATCAAGTACATCCATCCATCTATCTATCCTTTCTTCCTTCTTCCCATCCATCTGTTCATCCATCCATCCTTTCTTCCTTCCTTTCATCCATCCATTTATCAATCCTTCCATCCTTTGTTCCATCCATTCATCAATTCATCCATCCTTTTTTCCATCAATTCATCCTTTCTTCCTTCTGTCCATCCATCATTCATCAATCCATCCATCCTTTCTTCCTTCTTTCCATCCATCCATCCATTCACCCATCATCCTTTCTTCCTTCCTTTCATCCATCATCCATTTATCAATCCTTCTACCCTTTGTTCCATTCATTCATCAATTCATCCATTCTCCCTTCCATCTATCCAACCATTCATCCATCCTTTCTTCCTTCTTTCCATCCATCCATCCTTTCTTCCTTCTTTCCATCCATCCATCTACCCGTCCTTTATTTAATCCATCCATCCATCCATCCATCCATCCACAAACCCATCATACACTGGTGCTACAGTACTTCCACACAGACTACAGTTCCTACTACAGATATGCTGTAACACGATCATTTTCTCTCAGCTTTATCTTCCACTGTAAAAGCTTAAGGTGAAAAACCTGCCGCTGTGTTTTTCTGACTCCGGACCTGCTGCTAATCAGGGTTAATCTCTGAACCCCAGCGTTTCGTGAACAGGTGCTTTCATTCTGGCGAGCAGAAGGCCTGAGAATGTTTCTCAAGCCCTGGGCTGAAACACAAGAACGCCCTGATAACTCCTGAGATACACTCACTTAACACACTCTGCTAGCCACAACACTGTTCCGTCTGTCCCCGCTCGCCCACCCCCCCTCCCACTTGTGGGCATGTGCGGTGGACGATAGCTGTGCGGTCGGGTATCTGGGGGCTATGTTTTCTCACTGTAAGAGCCCTTATCTGCGCTTGTTGGATTTCACTTAAAACCTTTGGAGTTTTTCAGTCTGTTTTTTTTCTCTTCTAAAAGATGAGTATCTGTCAACTTCTTTGGACTGTCCTGAGTAGCAGAGAGTCAGAGCGCTGCGGTGTATCAGGGTGCCCACACCCCTACTGCCCCCCCCGACCCCGTCACTGCCTGAGCCAGTGTTTACAGCTAGCACGTACCAGTTGACCTGCGCGGTGTCAGAGTTAAAGTTAATTGAAAACTTCTGAAGAGGTGATAAATTTTTATTTTTTTTAAAAGAGGGAAGTGAGGATTTTAATCATACCTGAGGTGACCTTTGACCTCTGACATAAGCAGTCGGGACATAAATCTATATTGAGCTGAAGGGACTCCTGCACTTCAGGGTGGTGGCCATCGGTAAAGTGCTGATTTTCAGAGACAATAAAAGAGGGCAGTATATCACATGTGACAGACATTTGCCACTGGAGGGTGTCAGGGAAGAAAACCAAAGTGCCTCTATATATATTTATATATGTATATATATATTTAGGTGTAGATATATGTATATATATTTATATATGTATATCTATATTTATGCATTAATATATGTATATAATCTATGTCTATATATATTTATGCATGAATATATGTACATATATTTATATATGTATATATATATATATATATAAATATATATATATATATATATAAATATATATATATATATATAAATATATATATATATATATATTTATGTGCATGTACGTATATATGTGTGTCTTAATACATACAGTATGTACATACATATCTATATAATACAGAACGAATGGATTCTGTTTTCTGTTTCCTGTAATGCTTAAGAAATTACCCAACATGCACCTGATACGCTGTATTTTTTTGGTGGTATATTGAGAAATCAATTCAGATATTTTCTATTCTTCAGCCCTGAAAAAATGAAAACATGTATAAACTGGCTATAAGTCGAGCGACGCTTCATCAGTCACTGATGCAGCCGGAGCAGATTCACTCTAACGATTAAGAATGATTGATGCTAAATAATTTCAATAATTTCTTTTCCTTCTTGGCTCTGATCTTCCTCCCTGCCCTGGGTGAGCGGAACGACATGCTGCTACACGCAGTCGTACCCCTTTAAAAAAAAAAGTCCTCACACCTTGCCCTCGCCCCTGCTCCCACCCCCCGCGGGGCTTTTGCTGAGGGGTTTTTAATCTGCTCGGAGGAGCTGCCTCTCTCAGCTCTTGAACATGTCTTTCTTTCATTCTTTTTAGGTCTACTTAATTACGTTTCTACAGTGACACAAAGACGTTAGCTTAGCTCTGATGAAATGCACTCAGCCGTTGTATGG